ATTAAACCATTATAGTATCAGTGTGAGCTGCACGTGTTGCTGCCCATTCAACCACAGTCTGACCTGTTCGGTGAGCAGCTCTACTGATGCAATTTGGTGTTTAAGAGAATATTTCAACATTTTGGGAAAATAAGCTTTTTTCTATCGTAGAATCGCGTGCAGAAATGGGGCCGAAATCAAACCCTGTGCCGGTATTGGACATGCGCTGTAACTATTCGGCTAAATTTGAAAAATGTATATCCTGCTGAGTAGATTGTTCTCTAATGTACACCATCAGGCCCGCCCCTCCCTACACGCCTCATCTTGCGGAGGGAGTCTCATCTGATGCGCAAATGCGGCGCAATCAACATAACTTTGCGTGGGGCCACAAGTTGGCCAGGGGCAGCCCTGTACACCATAAGGAATATATTTTAAATAATTTGTATTCATTTGAATCTGCAAAGTTTCTTGTAATTGAAGTTATCAAGTACATTAACTATAAAAAAAGTACAATATTGGTAGTGTAGTATGAAGCAGCATAAAATGTAAATCCTGTCGTACAGTACTTGAGCAAGTATACTCAGTAACTTTACATACCTGCAAACAAGATAAAACATGGTCGTTAGTGAGATTTAGAATTTCTTGCAGCTTCATATTTAACAGAGAATTTCGCCTTGCTGAATCGGCACTTTTCCCACCCAGACGTCTCCTTCCAGACACGATCATCATAAGAGAGTCTGAGTAGAGTCAGGTCGGGTCAGTTCATAGCGTGCCTACATCAAGTGGACTGAGAGGATATGATAGAATGAGTCTGTTTGAATTATTGATAAACTCTTTAATAATTTTGTCCTCTTTTCCAGTCCTATGAGGACCTCGTCCATCGTCTGGAGCCGGTGATCATGGAGCTGGAAAGGCAGGAAAATGTTCTGGTGATCTGCCACCAAGCTGTGTTTCGCTGCCTGCTGGCCTACTTTGTAAACAAACCTGCAGGTACACAAATCCAGGCCTCAAAACATAATCTGACACAGAAGTATGTCACATTGTTTTCAATACCACAAACGACTGCTACCTATTTAATTTAAAACTGCACGGCTCTTCCACTTCAAATTATGATTAACTGCACATATTTCATTTTTTAGAGTCATTTGTCTCACTCTTATTGTACTTACATGTTTTTATAGAAATATTTATTGTAATATTATGTTTTTATTGTTTTCAAAACAGTTCTATATTTGCTCCTTTTTACAATTGTTTACCAAAGCAAATTCCTTTTAAGACAGAAACCTGATTCTGATTATTATTATTTCTTTCCTCTGAAGCTGAGCTGCCTTATCTCAGATGCCCTCTCCACACTGTGCTCAAACTCACACCAATAGCTTACGGTACGTGGTAAATCCTAAAGTGTGTGACATTTCCATATCTCAGTAAACTTCTCCCTAACAGTCTCACTTTCTCTCCTAATTTCAGGCTGTAAAGTCGAGTCATTTTCCCTCAACATTGAAGCAGTCAACACACACAGAGAGAGGCCAGTGGTAAGTTTCCACAAGCACACCATTTTTATAATAGCACACAGATCTGTCATAATAGATACTTAGCTTTGCCAACTATTGGTCTGCGGTACATTACATACGTCTGATGGCAGGCATTAATGTTAGGTCATTTGTATGTGTAGATGAAATATATATGTATAGGAGTGGGGAGTGAACAGAAATGTGGCTGAACAGCTTTTGTTTTTTCATATTAGGATGATTTGAAACAAAAAATATAGGCTTAAAAGTGTGAATATGTAACTTTTGTGAAAAGAGGTATCAATATCTTCCTCATAAAAAGTTATTTATGTTGTTGCTCCAAAAACTTCACTTGTGTTCTCTAATGTTTGCATAATAGATGATGTGGGATTGACAACAGTTTCTTACTTTTTGCCCCTTGTCTATTTGTGCTACTCTTACTTTACATTTGAACATGTTACAAATTGTCGTGCGGATTTCTTTCAACTATATTGAGAAAAAACACATTTATGTCATTTTATCCTGTAATTGCCAATTGTGGCCAAAGTGGTCACTGTTGTACAGAATTCCTACAGAATAAACAGCTAGAGCAGGGGTCTGCAACCGTTTTGATCAAAAGAGCCATTTTGCCCCCTTTTCCACCAATTTCTTTTGTCTCTGGAGCCGCAAAACATATTTGATAGCTGCTTGATAGCTTATACAGTTGTATATATTGTATATCATAGACAAAAACTACAGTTCTTTTGCATTTATTATTTATTACATTATAGAAAACTGTTAACCTCTAATAATAAACAAAGAACTCTTATACAGTAAGGAGAATAAAAACAAATACACAGGCCTACTTTAAAATAAATCGACACAGCACTTGGGGAGTCCTCTGCACATTTGAAGAAAATGAATATAATTAATATTGACCCACTTTGAAATAAATAAAACCTATAGCTGCACCCTAAAAAGAGTTAACTGATTGAATTATGACTGAAGATCGTCAGCTGTCTTCCTCTTCCGTGTTTTTCCTCCAATACGTAAAGGCTGCAGCACCTTTGACAACTTCTCTCCACATATCAAACATCCCGGTAAACCAGCATCGTTTGCTGTGAAACCAGATAACTCTGTCCACGCAGAATTAAACCCTCTGTGTTCCTCCGATACTTTTATTTTCTTTGATTTATCCATAGTTCGCTCATCGAGCCCGGGGTCAGGTTATTCACCTGCTGGCGCGGGACCGTCGCAGGATATGACGCATATTTTAGTTGACCTAATTAAAACCGTTTTTTTTATTTTATTTATGTGTCACAGATGTGACTCAAAATACAAGATACGAAACATTTTCAACCGTGCAACAACATTTAAATAGTCCTACAAATACTTTTATTTTATTTCCTTGTTATTTTTGTCCAAGCTCAAGGGAGCCAGAGCAGAGGGTAGAGCCGCGGGTTGCCGACCCCTGAGCTCGAGGAATTATATCATCAGAATCTGTTTTCATAGTAAAATAAATATTTATTCACAGAGACTGCAAGTTAAAGTTAAAGTTAAAGGCAAATTGTTTTAAGATTGATTATTTATCTTGAGATGTCTCACAACCACAATTTATTTTATTCCTTTGGTTTATTTGACAGGGACAATATTATGTACATCTTTATGTAGATTACATTTAAATAAGGGTTGAAGTATATTCCTAATTCATATATTCTTTAACACACCACATACAGAAAACATTTCTAAATGAATGGGTCGTACGGGTTTGGGTTTTTTATGGACTCAGTATTTGTGTTTCTTTTGCAGAATGTCGACATCAACAGAAACCCTGAGGAGGCTCTGCAGACCGTACCTGACCACATATGAATGCTGTGTTGTGAGAAAAAGACTACAGACACATGAAACTGGACGTGTTGCTACATATTAGCTTCACTAAATATAAGAGATGCACTCCGGAGAAAGGGTAGGCTTTAAAGCAGAGTAGAAATGGGACTAAATGTTCACTACCAGAAAAAATCACACAGACTCCTGCTGCACCGACTCAACAGGATATTCTGTTTGAAGCGTGACTGTGAAACCTTCATGTGTCTTATCTGACTGGAGTTTGCTCCTTTTTTTTTTAAATGTCACATTGTTTACGAAATAAGATTTACAAGTAATACTAATGCACTATGTTTTAACACTTACAGAAAAACACTTAAAAAGATGTGTAAAAGTTGTAACACGTGTAACCATTGCACGGATTATGTGTTGTTGATAATCTAATTATAAAGGTGGGTCAGCCCCGTGGACAGCACCCAAACAAACAAAACATGTTGTTGTTGATTCTGGCACTTGACTTGAAGGTTAGGTAGTAGATAAGACGACAAGATTCAAAGTTGTATTGTCATGAGTATCTTCAGTTTTGGTAATGAAAATAGTCCATGGCTCCTTCAAAAGTAAAATAGAGAAGACATTACACGGTGCATTATGGAATGTTTTAAATAGGGCTGCACCATAATCTGCTTTTTCTAGTTTTCACTTTCCTGTAGTGTGTTATTTAGGTTTGTGTGCATGTTAATGGTCTGCAAAGGCTTAAATCCCAAAGTTCCCTCCAGAGGGAGTTCTATTGGCTAGCGCTCCAACACATTGTACGTGATAGGCTAAGGGTCGGGAGATCTCTGTGCGGTTGACCAATCACAACAGAGCTAACCAATCAGAGCAGACTGGTCTCTGGTTTCAGACGGAGGGTGAAGAGAGGTGCTGCAGCACAGGCAGTATGAGGAAAATAAAGAGCTTTTTGAACATTTAAGCAAGGAGACATGTCACAGTAGTGGCACAAAATACGAAAATAAACTAAGACTTGTTTTTAAGTTGTTTTTCAGAAACTAAATCCACTTTACGAGTCCTGTTGGTGTTGGTTTGGCAGCTCTCTTATGTTTTTAATCCTCCCACAGAGAAGCCAAAACTAAATTTAACAAACTGATTTCACAACAGACCAATGAACTGTTCCACTCGGCAGATAATGGGTCTTTGTGAAAGCGCTCTGGGGGAATAGGAAACTCACATTTGGGAGTAATTTAAGGAATAAAACTCAGACTGGAGCATTTTAACTCAGAGAGGAGGAGGGGGAGGTGTTTTGGTAGTGGGGTAATTTCCCAAAATAGCAGAGCAGGGGTTAATAATCCCTCATTTCTGGTGCACCTCAGTGGCAGCAGGACGTGAAACTTCCAGTAGGCACACACTCAAACTGGCAGCTGCTCTCCTCACACACAGCGGGACAACTTTCTGACTGAACTTCACACCTTTTTGGAGATTTTCTTTTCCCTTTTTTCACCACACGTGACGGATGTTTATCAGAACATATTTCATCTATCACTGCAGAGGAGCCGTTTAAAATAATCCGAGGTGAGGGAGGGGAGAGAGACTGCCCCTTGCAGAAAATAACTTTCTGTGTAAAATGTGAGGTATGTGCACAGCGTCCTGCTGCACACGCTGCCTCAGTCCCGCGGACACCGTGAGTTCACTGCATCTTGGAGGACTGGAACCTGATTTATTCTGGACATGATGAATTTAAGGATTTCCTGCATGCTGGTGTTCTTCACTCTGTATCTGCAAGAGGGATTATCAAGGGAATATGAAGCTAAACTTGGAGCAGATGTTCTTTTACAGGTACATTTTTCTATTTTCCTCTCCTTAATTACCTTTTTTTCTGTCAGTTTTCTCTGTGTAAAAGTTGTTAATGGCTTCTTTCTGAAACACACTCTTCTGTTAAACCAGGTTGAATGAAGACAGGAGGACAGTATAGCAATAATATAGCACTTTATTTTGTATTTAAAAAAAAATTGCTTTACTCTAATAATTGCCAGGATATTATTTAAACTATTGGTGACTACTAAAGTGAGTATTTCAAGTTCTAATACAGCGAAAACAAACTCAATGAGTCAAGATATACAATATACTCCAATTTGTTGTATATTAACTATATGATTTCTATGTTTCCCCATAAAGGGTTTCCACTCTTTACCTTACTTGTTTATGTTAAGGTCCCAGCAATGTTCAGGCTATGTGGTAATGTATTGACACAGCAATGACTTGTGTAAAAGAATTAGCCTCTGAGAGCGCACCGTGCAGCCTGTGTACAGTCAACGCATTTATTTCCAGTTCCACTTCCCCTCCATTCATGAATGGCTTTGATTCAGAGTATTTTGACACAAAATCTTGACCCAACCCTCTCATAGGAAGAGTGTGGAGATTACTTCAAAAAAGGGTACCTCCTTTTCTGGAACCAATGAAGTTCATTATACTTATTGGGCTTGATCTTAAAATAACATTTTACAATACTACACATGAACGCACGTGATTGACTTTCTGCCTTGTGTGTTTTTCAGAGAATAAGACGTCAAAGCAAACCAACTAAATTAGTGGTAAGTATCAACCCAACTTTCAATGTTACTTTTCACAAGAGGAAAGGGATGTGATAGTTGGACTATGTTTGTGCAGTTACTGTCATAAGACGTGTAAAATACCATAACAAATATTTAGTTTATTTGACAATTCATTTAAAAAAAATACCCTGATTGGTTTCAACATCAAGGGACATGCGCAGTTAAAAGAACATTGAGGACAACACAAGAAAGTTACATGATTTATTTACATTCTTGTTTTGTTGTGGTCATTGTAATGACTGTACAGTATAGTGCAAGATTTAAGCTCCTCATACTAGAACATGAGTTACAATGTCACTGTTACTAAACATAGCTATACAGTATGACTGTGTACAAAAAGAAGAACATAACAACTAAATTCTGCTTCACAGATTATTATTTTTAATCAACAATATTGGATAATTTGAACTCTTTGTAATCTAAACAGTTATAGAGGGGAGAAAGTCACAATCAACAACTCAAAGATATCTAAATCTTTAACACATTGCGTTTTTTAAACTGTTTTAACACATTTTTTAATCTTAAATCGTAATTTGATAAGTAACCAATACAACTACACCTATCAATTAAATGCAGCGGAGTAAAATGTATAGCATTTTCTTTTGAGATGTAGTTGAGTAGAAGTATAGAAAAACATGCTGTGAAATGGGAAAACCTCAATAATGTTCTCAAGAAGTACAGTCCTTGAGTTAAAGTACCTACTCTCCACCTCTGATACAAAGTGACCAGCTTCACAGACAGAAAGCACCCCCTACTCTCTCAGGGAATCATCAAGAGCTCCTCTGAGGTTTCCCCTCTGTTTGCTTCAGCGTTAACTGTGAAGCAATCCCCAGAACACATACAGTAATTCAGTTCAGTATAGCTCAAACCCCCGCTGCGCTGATGTGGCTCTGCCGCCTCATCCTGAAGTCATGTGGCTGCTAACCAGACTCACTTCAGTTTGCAGCAGGCGCCAGCGTTACCGGAGTAAACAGAGAAACAAGTTCATGATTTGTTTTCCATTTTGGTTTGGCTGGGTAGGGTGATTTAAAGGTCCATTATACTCTTTTTCATCAATATATTATAGGTCTCGGATATATAAAAAAATATGTCTCTGAAGTGTTTGGCTAAAACACCAGACAGATCATTGCAGCATCCCATAATCCCCTCTGTTTCAGCCCTGTTTCAAAAGTGCTGATTCTCTGTCTGTTACTTCAGATGAAAATAAGGAGCCCCTCCCCACGCCCCTCTGAGAGATATTTGGTTAAAAAGAACACAATGGTGCTCTAGGAGGAGATTCAGGTGATAAGGTGGGGGGGGGTTACCTTGGTTGGTGATTGGCTAATGGTTACACAAGCCAAAAAAACCATTATGACATCATAAAGTGGCCAAAATCTGATCAGCTCATTTTCAGACAGGTTTTTATATAAATGGATCAGGACAAAAAGAGAGAGAATCTTTTGTCCTGAAACTTTCAGAATCTCTTTACACAGAGGGGACACATGTTTCTGTAGAAGAGACATGAACAAGTGGATTTTTGTATAATAGGTGACCTTTAAGGTTTATTTAAGCCTCCATCATTGTCTGTTATAGTCACACCTGATTGGTTGTGAGTAAATGTGGCATGTAGCCCTTGTCATGATCTACTCAAGTACTGTACTTATTTCAATGTTATGCTACTCTATATTTTACTCGACTACATGCCATAGACAAATATAGTTTTTTGACGACACTGCACTAGTCTGACAGCTGTTGCTTTTCAGATAACAGTTTAATCATACGTTTCCCTGAAGTGAAAACCATCAATCTTCAAACACAGGGCTATTTTTCTGAAAATCTCTTGAAAAGTTGTCTTTTTTTAGATACTTGAGTCCAACAAAAAAGCGGTGCTACAAACATAACATGAACGTATCAGATGTGAGGAATTGCTGTAGATTAAATGTACCAACACTACAAGAGTTACAATTAGGCAAAACCATACATATCTATAGCAGTAAAACGCAGCTGATTAATATTATTCCAAAAACATAACTAGGAGTAAAACCCTGACAGGTACAGTACTTTTACGTGTAGTGAAGTTTTTTCCCACTATGGTACCAGTACTTTTACCTAAGTAAAGGATACATCATAGGGACACTACTATCAGCCCACCAGGGCCATACACCTTCCTTATGTTCAGTGCATGTGTCCCGTCCCTACTTAAACTTTGAGAAACACACAAGAGGAATCTGAAAAGCTGATGTTATATGTGTTCAGGATCAATGCAGAACATTCACTGAGAAACGTAACTTTCATTGAGTAAATCAAAGATCTGCATAGTTTTGAAAACCCCGGGGACCTATCACGTATTTGCGACGTTGCCACCTCACAGTCTGTGTTGTGGTTATTGTCAGGCTTATATAATGTGGAAAAAAGCAGATAAAATGCACCAACTTCCTATGGTACATTCGATTAGCTGAATGTTTCTATTTGCCTCATGTAAGCTTCACAATACCTGTCCCTTGTACCTCAGATTTCATTTCTCCTTAACTTAAGTGCTTTCTCCTCCAAACCCTTACATTTGTTATACATATATTTGTGATGCTTTAGCTGAAGGTGACAGACTACCATGTGGGGTGTACAGTGGTGTCCAGATACGCTGTGACCACAGTGCAGAGCTCAGTGTGGAACCAGCTGCCCGTCACCAAGGAGGCGGCCTTCGAGGTGGACCTGCCCTCCTCTGCCTTCATCTCCAACTTCACCATGTAAGTCACTGTTTCTCAGTTCTATCCCTACTTCCTATGTTTGTTTATGTATTTGATTGTCTCTCTTTTTAATTTCCTTTATTTCTAATCTCTATGAAAGTCAGGAAATGCTTCCAGTCATCGTTACATTTACTGTGTTTTTGATGATAATTCCTCACAACATATAGGGACTGTTTTCAATATTAAAGATTTTTAATATTACAATTATTATGCTTTTGGGGGGTTTTCCCATTCCTGTAGTGTGTTATGTTTTTGTTCATGTAAATGGTCTCCAAAGGCTGACATCCCAAAGCTTCCTCAAGAGGGAGCTCTCTACCAAACCCTCCTTCCTGAAATGCCTCCATTATGGCGCATTTCCACTGCTGGGCCTCGCTCGGCTTAGTACGGTATAGTTAGGCCTTGGTAGGCCAAGCTCACTTTATGCTGCGTTTCCATTACAGTTTAGTAGCTGGGGCAGTAACTATAGTAACGCAGTGTAGGCGGAGCCGTGAGGTCATCTTCAATGCGAACCAGAAAACCAACATCAGCCGTTAGCTGTTAGCACTCAGAGCCACAAAGACAAAAGTTAAACAAGTACAAACCACAGACTGTCTGTGTCATGGCGAATTCAGTCGCTGGTTTATTTATGTCTGTATAGGCCGTTGTTGTGAGTGTGGACGGTCGGAGCATATACTGCATTAGCTTAGCCGGTCTCCATTTAGAAAACACGCATTTTAAAAGGTTTTTTGCCTGCCGTCTGTCTGCAGACTTGTCAAAGCATTAATTCATGGTTTTTACTAACCGGTATCAGTATGTTGTTACTTCGGCATCATTTTGAAAGGTGTATTACAATTAAATCACGGTCAAATATGTTTATTTTGTTGTAGTTGCCAGCGATTCTCTCACTAGTTTAGCATACTCAGCCCGGTTGTTGGCCCGGAAAGAACCTCGATTTTGTCGAGCCAGAAAAACTGTGAAAAAGTACCCGCTAGCCGGAACTACCCCTAGTGGAAACGCAACCAAAAACGGGCCGGGCACGGCACGCCTAAACCACGCTCCGCGCAGTAGTGGAAACGCGCCATTAGACTCCTTTGTTTACAGTCAGACAGAAGTGACATACCCTAACAGTTGCGCTTCTATTGGCTGATAGGGGCAGGAAATCTCTAAGCGAGCTTTTTGAACATTAAAGCATGGAGACATGTCACAGTAGAGACACTAAATAAATATGAACCTGAAAATGAGCATGATAGAGCCCCTTTAAGTATTGAAGTTGGCAGGGAAATTATGATATGTACCTGCCATATGTTGAAAAAATTGAAATAAATAAAAGTTCTCATAATTGGGCTAAATCCAGAAACTTCAGAGGAATTATGTAAGGAACTTGAATCGAAGTCCGGAGGAGAGATGCATAATTTGATTACGAAGAGTGTTTTTCAAGACGCTCTCCTTCAAGAAATTGCTAAATATAAACAAAACAAATAAGTCAACATTGCAGGCCAAACACCAAACCTGGAGCTGGATTTGGGAGCGGAAGCAGGTCAGGGGGGGGGGGGAACCTGAGGCAGATGAATACAGGGCTTTGTAAACGCAAGTCAGAAAGTTAATAGAGAAAATGACAGGAGTTTACCCAGTCCCTACTTTTCTCCCCCGGACAGTTTACTGAGGCACACTGCCAGTTTAGATACACACACACACACACACACACACACACACACACACACACACACACCTACATGTACTGTACATATGCGTGCCTACATGGAGGTTTTTTAAGTATGTGTGATTCTGGAGCTCATACAGGTTTTTTAACACCATAATCCTTCACTTCTGTCTTTCTCTTACACATTTTCACACTCTGTATGGCCTGTACAGACAGAGAGATCAAGATACCGTTTCCCACAATCCCGAATACAAAAAAATACAAATATATATAGAAATATGTATGAAAATATGTATATACCTATATATACACAATCAACAGACACATTTATACATATGGATACATTAAGACATAAATAAAAGCAACAAAATAGGCCAAAAGCTTATTGTACTTATTTACATTTTATAAAACTTTATATATCTACTACATCTTATAGACAAATACTGTTTAGTGTTTTGACTCCACTCCTTTGGTCTGACAGCTTTTTTTAACATTTTTTTTTATTTATCTGAAGTCAAACCATCTATCTTGAAATGTATTGATTTTTGAATGATTGTGATAATCTAAAAGAATGAAGTGTCCTTTAAGCGTTAAGAAATGTCTCCTACATCTTAGGTGTCCTTTAAGCGTTAAGAAATGTCTCCTACATCTTAGGTGTCCTTTAAGCGTTAAGAAATGTCTCCTACATCTAAGTGTCCTTTAAGCGTTAAGAAATGTCTCCTACATCTTAGGTGTCCTTTAAGCGTTAAGAAATGTCTCCTACATCTTAGGTGTCCTTTAAGCGTTAAGAAATGTCTCCTACATCTAAGTGTCCTTTAAGCGTTAAGAAATGTCTCCTACCTCTTAGGTGTCCTTTAAGCGTTAAGAAATGTCTCCTACATCTTAGGTGCCCTTTAAGCGTTAAGAAATGTCTCCTACATCTTAGGCTCGTCATCACCAAATACCCCAAAAGGTAAAAGAGAAAAAAAAAGCTGTGGCAAATGTGTTAGTTCTTTGGCATTTCTGTGTGTGAAACTGAGACCTCTGTGTTCAGTGTGTCGCTCACTGATGTGCAGCCGCTCCTTTAACCAGCCACACGTATAAATACAAGCGCCTCCATTTTCCACTCTTGCCATTCTGCTCTGTTTCTCAAACAGGACTTGCTTCAAGCCTGAGGGTTTATTTGAGTTAGCCCTTGATGTTTTTTCTCTTTGGATATATTTGTTCAAAGGACGTGACCTTAATTTAGCACCTTGTCACGTGTCATCAGCGGTCACCGAGAGTCTAGGAAGTGCACTGTGTGAGTTGGATGCCACTTGAGCGGAGGTTTTGGTTGGGATTTGGCCGGGTGTTGCACACGGCGGCGCTCCCTCAGCAGCGTCACCGGCCTGCAAGATCTCTCTTCATTAATGCTGTTTTTAGAGGGAAATTACTATTTTCTCACTCGCCCTGTTTACGACCCACACCTCCCAAGCATGATGCGTGTTTGTGAAGCAGCTTTGTGATGGCAATGGAAATACAAGGTGGAAAATAAAGTGAATCACGCTGAGCAGCTCAATGCAGGCCAGGCGTGTTTCTGACTGAAATATAATCCGGCTACTGTGAGTCACACAGAGAGCTGTTTCTTCTTCTTATTCCCATCAGCACCTCCTATGGCAAGGTGTATGTGGGCCAGGTGACGGAGAGAGCTGCTGCCAGGAACATTTACGATGCTGCTAAGAAGCAAGGGAAAACAGCCGGGCTCGTTGCTACCAAGTCAGTACCAGAATTTGTTCTTTAACTTCCTCACACTCTGATCAGTTAAGTAATGCATCTTCTACAGTTAAAAATATGTCTGTGAATCTCATAAAAAGTTGTTTTTTGTGAGATACTTGCAAAAATAAAAGAATCTTTTAGAATATGATGCATTTAACTATCCAACAATATATAAAGGAGTTAACATAAGCGCGATCATCAACATCTACAGCACTAAAATGCAACATACTGTACGCCTTTGTGAAGCAGTAATATTAATCCAAAAACATCCAAAGTAAAACACTGACATTAACTTTTGATTATTTAAGTACAATTTGCTGATAGTACTTTTAGTTATGTTAGATTTTGAAATCAGTACTTTGTAGTGAAGTGTTTTTATAGTAATGGTACTAGTACTTTTACTTAAATAAAGGAGACTTGTATGAGCCCACCAAGACCACCTTTCTTACATTCAGTGCTTAAAGTTTTTACTTGTAATGTAGACCGTTTTTAAAGAGGACACTGACATCCAATCCAATGTTGTGAGTTTTCCTTTGACTTTTTCTGCTATGTTTCAGAGAGCGAGAGATTGAGAAGTTCCGCGTGGCGGTGAGCGTGCCGTCTGGAGCTCGGGTTTCCTTCTCCCTGACCTACGAGGAGCTGCTGCCTCGACGCCTCGGCCGCTATGAGCTCAGTCTGGGTCTGAGGCCGGGTCAGCCTGTGCAGAACCTCTCGTTAGACGTCAGTATAACGGAGAGGACGGGCATCAGTTTCCTCAAAGCCTTTCCTCTCAGGATGAGCCGGCTGCTCTCCAACACCGCTCAAGGTCAAATATGATGAGTTATTACCTGTTATGATGTATTTTAGATGGTTAATTGGGATTAGCAACTTTCAGAGAAGAGCCCTTCAATGCTCTTAGACTAATGTAAAGTACACGCCACCTGGTACCAACCATCAGTTGTTTAAAGCAAGTGAAACAATCTCAATAGACTTCCTGGTTGAATCAATGATATAATTAATTATATTTGTCAATTAGAATCTGAATTTAAAAGAATAGTTTAACTTTTGGGGGAATAAGCTTATTTTCTTAGTGGTTAATGAGAAAATTGAGCTGTTTAGCTTAGCTTAGCATAATAACAGGAAACAAATGGAAACAGCTAGCCTGGCTCTGCCAAGAAACAATATATTGTTGTTACTGTTAGGTAGCCAGGAAACCCCAGGATGTTTTTTCTCCCCTATAATCCCATATAAAACCACTAGTTATTCTTTCATGCTTTTAATTTGGGTACAACCAAGATATAAAGTTACGAGTGCCTTAGCGGTTCTGATAAGCAATTGATCTTACCTTTATCCAGCCATATCCAGGCTATCTGTTTCCAGTCTAAGATAACTTTCTTCTGGCTGTAGTTTCATATTGATCCTACAGACTTGGGTGGTGTCTGTGTTCTCAACTTACTCTGCAACAAAGCAAATAACCCGATTTCGTAAAATGTTCAACTATTTCTGATGGAATTGTTTTCTTAAAGAGATTTAAAGACTCCCACACGCTGTCTTCTTCACTGACAGTCAGAAGGGGTTATTTAATATTAAGGTCTCCATACCCAGACCTTCATCAGGTTTTTGCACAAATAATATATAATCCATTTTAAATAACCTGAGAAAGGTCTGTGTACTGAAACGTTGTTATTAGATTAGACTGAAGTGTGGGAGCATTATGTTCCAAATGGTTGACCCCTGGTCTTCTTCTTCTACGCACATGTCTACAGGCGTGTGTCCTCTTTGATGTAGATCTTTATTTAAACATTTTTGATGACTTCTTCATGGATTAAACCATGCACTCCTTACCATCAGGCGATGCAGAAGCCCCGGCCTCCACTCATGTTGAGCAGAACACAAACTGTGCTCGTGTCCGCTACAGTCCCACTATACAGCAGCAGAACAGCATCTCGTCCAACGGTCTCAACGCAGACTTCATCCTCCAGTATGACGTGGAGCTCAGAGACCTCATGGGTGAAGTCCAGGTCAGGACCGGCTTTTTATTTCTGCTTTTTTAAAGAATGTTCTTGCTTTTCAAAATATATAAATGTGTTTTTAGTGACAGTTAAAGTGGTTTTCTCCCCAATTAATTGTGTATTTTCACCCTCTCTCAGGTGTATGATGGGTATTTTGTGCATTACTTTGCACCCAGAGGACTTCCTGTTGTTCCTAAGGATGTTATTTTTGTCATTGATGTCAGTGGCTCAATGATAGGCACTAAGATAAAACAGGTAAAGTTGACAGTCTCATCCACACCGTAACTTTTTATGACCAAGAATACAAGAGCATGTTCACACCGCTTCCCTGCTGCTTTGTCAATTATATTGTTTGTACTTCTTGTCTTTTCTTCAATAGAAATAATCCTTTTTGCATAACTGAGTTTTAATCCTTTGTGATTTTCAATGTATGTAATGACTGCAGTCTTTTTTTCAATCATCCAAGAAAATCGATCAATCAATACAGTTCTGTGATAAGGACAGTTGCTTGATAACAAATATATTTGCAGGATTTCTGTCAATAATTCAAAGTATTTCTGTCAGTAGACGAAGCAGGCCATGAGCACGATTCTCGGGGACCTGAGAGAGGGAGACCACTTCAACATCATCACCTTCTCAGACAAAGTTCACACCTGGAAGAAAGGACGGACAGTTCGGGCGACTCGGCAGAACGTACGAGACGCCAAAGACTTTGTGAAGAGGATTATTGCAGAAGGATGTGAGATGAAGTCTTAAGATATAATTGTGTCAAATGTGTCTTAGTTTTTCTGTTAAGCCCCAAAGCCCCCGTCGGCGGGTCTTTTGTTTTTCCACAAAAAAAAAAAAAAAAAAAAGTTTTTTTTTTAATTTTTTAATTTTTTATTAATTTTTTTATTTTTATTTTTTTCTTTTAATGGAATGAATACCTATGGTGATAATTCAATGTAATACATCCTTTTTATAGTCTGGTACCTGAAAAAGGTCAAATGGCACTGATGGAACCAGAAATGTGCCGAAAGCTTATTCCGCCTGGAACTTATTTTTGCTAAACCTCTCTAAAAAGGTCAAATATAACTTGTTTTGCCTCAATCTTGATACAGGGTACTTATTATATGTTATAGTTTGGATTCCTAAAGCTTTTAGTCTACTAACCCATCATCCAAGGGTGGTTTTCACTATAAGTAATGGGTTTTTTGTAGGCGGAGGTAAGAATTTACCTTTTTTTTACTATGTTCCATCTGAATTTACTCTGACTGAGAAAAATCTATATTGATTCTGACACTTCTACATCCAACTCACAGATGTAACCTTGCTTTGATTAAAGAAATTATTCATATAACCCTTTTAGAAGTGAAGTTGTAGTCATTTGTTTTGGGCATGTCATTTTCGAGCCTGAAACCTGAAAAACGGGCTCGGGGCTTAACAGGTTAACACGGATCGTTCAGCCTACTCACTGTAGTCTTCTGGTTTGTTTCATCAATGCTACTTCCTTTCCCCCATCCATGCCTGCTTTTATTCCTGTGTTTCATTTGTTGATGTTTTTACTTGTTGAGTGTTACTTTTATCCTTTGTATGGTGTCCTTAGGTTTTATGAAAGGTGCTTCCAAATCAAAAGTAGTATTATTATTATTTATTATACATTTTCTCTCTATCAGGGACGAACATCAACGCAGCTCTGCTCTCTGCTGCCCAGCTGGTCAACCCTTCATCCTCCTCCTCCTCCAGCCACCTCTCATCCCGACGTGTCCCTCTGGTTATCTTCCTCACTGATGGAGAGGCAACCATTGGAGTAACGACCGGCGACACCATCCTCAGCAACGCCAAGAAAGCTCTGGGCTCCTCGTCTCTGTTCGGCCTCGCCTTTGGAGACGACGCAGACTTCCTCCTCCTGAAACGCCTCGCTCTGGATAACCGCGGCGTGGCGAGGATGGTTTACGAGGACGCCGACGCAGCCCTGCAGCTGAAGGGTTTCTACGATGAAGTGGCGAGTCCTCTGCTATCAGACATCCAGCTGTCGTATCTGGACGATCAGGCGTTTGACATCACCCGCTCCATGTTCCCAAACTACTTCCAAGGCTCAGAGCTGGTGGTGGCTGGGAGGGTGAAACCAGGGCTGAAGGATTTTAAGGTGTCAATGTCCGCCACTGATTCAAAGCAACGCATCAAGTTGGAGAACGAGGTGTTGATTTCCCACGCAAAAGGCAACGGGAGTGCAGATTCAGTCGAGTGCTCTGCAGGCTCGGAAGGAATCTCCACCTTCGTGCACCGCCTCTGGGCGTATTTCACCATCAAAGAGCTGCTGCTGGCAAAACTGAGCGCAACTGACCCTGCAACTCAGAGGATACTGGCAGACAAGGCCACAAACCTTTCCCTGAAATATAACTTTGTAACACCGGTCACTTCTTTAGTTGTGGTTAAGCCCGATGCAGATGAAGAAACTCCAACCCCGGTAAAACCCACCACCGCAGCGACTACAACCACAACAGCAGCGACTACAACAACGACAGCGACGACTACTGCCGCCATCAAAATATTAGCTGTGAAGAAGCTCAGTTCTAACACAAAGCCTAAAACAAAACCAGACCCTCCTCAGCCACCTCAAAAGCAAACAAAAAAAGTCCTTCTACCAACTTCCACTGCAAAAGTAGGAGTTTCACCATCAAAGAAAGCCACAACCACATCAAGTCCCACCTCTGTGAAAACTGCCCCTGCTCCAATCTCTGGGAAAAAGCCAACCCCTTCCCAAAATGAATCCAAAACTGCCTCTCCTCTTCCTGCCGGTAAGACACACACCTCCCTGCTGAATGCTTTAAAAACAGCGGCACCCCCTGCACCCGGAAAAGTCTCCACCCCGTTTCCAAATGTCGTGAAAACAACCCCCACAACCACCACAGTGTTCACCACCAGCACCACGCCTCCACCCAGCTCAGTCCGAACCGACCCTGCTCTCCTGCCTGGGAAACCCCTTACCCCACAGCCCAGTACAGTGAGAACGACCCTGCCTCCTGTCAGAGTGACCGTTCCCTCCCTAGAGGCGGAGAACAGCTCCACCTCTGCTCCACCTGTGCCTGACATCACCACCCCCCCGCCCGAGGCATCCTCTCTGCTCACCTCCCCCACCCCGGTGCCGGCGCCCAGCGTGGACGACCACAACGACACCGAGCTGAGCATCGCCACCTTTGTGTCGGCCAACTTCGCTCCCATGCCTGGTGTAACAGATGGGCCACGTTTGTGGGAGGCAGCAGGGCTTCTGGGTAATTCACAATTATGCATAGTCATAAATCAAGTTACAGTACAAGCTAAATATTAAAGAATCAGAATCAGAAACAAGTTTATTGCCAGGTAGGTTAGCACATACGAGGAATTTGACTTTGTGTTGTGGAGCATACATACAAATAAAACCAAAATGTAAAAACACAGATAGAAAGCTATTTGAAGAAACTATAATAACATTAAAAAATATATAAAAAAATATAGTAAAAGATAGCAGTATTTACATTGAATATGATGGAGTATGATTGAATATGAAACACCTTTACTGTAGTGTGTTATTTTGGTTTTTGTGGAAGCAAATGATCTGCAAAGGCTACACTCCCCCCCAGTGCCTGAAACTCTTCCACTGGACTCCTTTGTTTAGATAAGGAACATAGTGACATCACTATGTAACACTCAAGCTTCTATTGGCTAGCACTCCAACACATTGTACATGATAGGCTAAGGGGCGGGACATCTCTAAGCGGTTGACCAATCACAACAGAGCAGGCCAGCTAACCAATCAGAGTAGACTGGGCTCTGGTTTCAGACAGAGGGTGAAAAGAGGTGCTGCAGCACAGGCAGTACAGTATGAGGAAAATAAAGAGCTTTTTGAACATTAAAGCATGGAGACATGTCACAGGAGAGACACAAGATATACACCTGAAAATGAGTAGAATATGTCCTCTTATAGTGTGCAGACATTTTCATATATTTTCCTCATTGAATGTTGTTCTTCTCTCCACCAGATGTCTCTACTTTCATTCAGAGGAAAGGTAAAACTGAATGATATCTTTTTTTCTAAACTCTAATTCACATTTATCTGAAAAAGAAATCTGATAATCAAACGTAATTAGATACAGCTGTTTCATTAGGATATACCATAATAATCAGCCAACAGTGGAAGTAAATATGTTGTTCTATCTCCTGTAGATATTGACCTTGTGAAAGGTGAGTATCACACTTCATTCTTAATGTATTCATAATTATTATACTGTCAAAATAAAAAATTAGCATCACAGCGTGTCCTAAACTCAAACCCTCCATTTCTCAGACTTTGATGCGACCTATGACGTGGACTACGATCTCAATTATGATGCATGTAAGTTTTAAATTGTCATAAGAGTTGATTTAATTCTGTAGTTGCTTTCTAAAGTCTTTTAAATAAAATGTCTGACTTATTTCTAGGGGATGATACTGCAGACACAGAATCGTTTGGTAAGAGCTGGCTGTTACGTACAGCTGCACGTCTTAAATAATCTGTCATTTATTGTGGAGACACTGCTTTCATTGTGGAGGACTGTCAGTGAGTTGAATCTCTTGTGCTTTTAGATAGTTCTCCATCCATCATTCGCGTCTTCTCCTCATCAGGTCAAGATTTGTTTTTAATTATATTACACCGTCAAATTATTTAAAATATTTTCTGTACTCATGTTGTATTAATGTTAAATGTTGTGTCTTATAGTTGATGGAGATCCTCATTTTGTAGTCCAGCTGCCTAAGCTGCGTCAGAATTTGTGTTTCACTGTCGACGGCCGAGCCAATGACGTTCTCAGACTGTTAGAGGACCCAGAGAGAGGTACGCTTGGAAATAAAATCCCTCATTTAAGTGTAAAGATATACATGTTTTATAGGTATTTCTATATATTAATATTGGTTTTATTGCATGCCTCCATGGCGAAAAACTATTCTAAAAAGTCTTCATGAATTCAAATCAATTGGGGCTGCGTATAACAACCGAAAAATGGTTAACAAACTACAACACAACTGGTACGGTACCACTTAAAGCTCATTACTTCCCAAACACATGCGTTTTTGCATTTCAGATGCAATTGGTTTCATGGTTCATTCTTCGCTACTCTATAGTGAAAATCTGAAGTGTATGCATGTGTGCGGGAAGTAGTGAGCATCAGACTAGGTAAACAACAGATGGATGACACTCCAGAAGGTATACGAGAGCTTGTAAATGGATGTTTTAATATAGTCTTTCTGTTTGCTAAAAGAGGGTGCACCCATTTACTTCAATTCATTAGGACTTATCTCCATATCTTGATGTTCCTTCACCAGGCAAGAATGTGAGAAAAACATTGATTTCTTTAAGAATTCAAGGTGAAATGAGGTAAATACTTTAGCCATTTTTACTACCACGTTAGTAATACATTTTTAAGTGTGTCTGCTCCTCATCCTCAAGGGATAATTGTGGACGGCCACCTCATGGGAGCTCCCTCTAAGCACGGGGTGGAGGATCGGACCCGGACCTACTTCGACCGGATCACCATTTCCTCCGCCACCAAGCTCTCCGGGGACATCATGATCACCCTCTCGTTGGACGCTGTAGTGGTGGAAGGTGAGGGGCGGGACCATCTCCCCATCAATCAGCAGGGATCGGTGACGCGGCAGGGGGTGACGGTCACCGTGGACGACCACCGGAGTTGCTGGATCGAGCTTGACCGGGACGTCCGCTTCCTGGTTCTGTTCCACCAGTACAAACACCCCAGCTACCTGCAGATGGCTCACCTGGGCTTCTACATCAGGGATGGACGAGGGCTGTCCGCTGCAACCCAAGGCCTGCTGGGTACTACATACAAGCTCACTGACATCTAGAACACAGAACTTAAAGTAGAAATACAGCCATGTACAAGTTAAAGTCCTTACCATCTACTTAAGTAAAACTACAGATACAGCCAAAAGGACCCAAAGTTTCAAAACTAAAAGTACTCATTCTGCAGAAGAGTCTACCCTGAGACTGATGTATTATTATGTGACATGATTGTTTGTAATGATACATCAGTAGATTTGACTGTTGTAGCTAGTTGAGGTGAAGCTCATTTGAACTGCTTTATATACAATTACATAGTAGTAGTAATAATATTAAGTACTACAGTTTTTCTCGAAATAGGGATCAAGTGTCCTCTAAAGGAGTACAAGATAAATGTGATTGGCCATGTGCTGATTAATGCAGTAGTAAATACAAATCTGAGTTATGCGATGATAATGTGTATTAATTTGTCTGTTTTAAACTTCAGTTCAATAGGGTTAGGGTTAGGGTTAGCACATGTATCTGGTTGTAACTTATATATATCAATATTCCAATTACTTGTATATAGACTATTCTGCGCTATTTCTATTATATTCTTTTTTATTTTATTTACTTGCACTAGTATCTGTTTTATTGATGTTGCACTGTTGGAGGAGCCTGTGACCTAAGATCTTCATTGTCATGACTACACTGTAGCTATGTACACATGACAATACACGCCTTGAATCTTGAATCTTGAAATTGTTGAATAAATGCACTCCGTAACTTCCCACCACCTCTGTCCTATATCCTTCAACAGGCCAGTTCCAGCACGCTGACATGAGAGTCTCAGCGCTGCAGGATGCTCAGGATGAAGCTCCCAACGAGGCGGTGTCAGCGCGGGGGGTCCTGAGGTGGGGAGCGGAGCACATGCCGGTCACCTTGCAGGACAAGACGCTGAAAGACACGGTGCGGAAACGCCACACGGGCATGTGTTGGGTGGTACCCAAAGCAGAGGTAGAGAGACTCCTGGGTCATCCATACGAGAGCTACGTGGTGGAGCATGTGTAATCCTAGCCGAGTCTTCTTCTCCGCCTTCTCTGCTGCTCGTCTCGGGTCACAGAGAATATAATAGCGGTGAAAACTGGGACTCTAAAAGGTTTCCACGCTATTCTGTAAGGAGCGGTGGGACACCGTTGTGGTTACAAAAAGAGGAAGTGAAGGAGTAATGAGGAAGTATGGTTCAATAGATGTATAAGGACTGAAGCGTGCTGTTGTTCTCCATCAGGGAGTTTGGATTCATGTCTGTGACAGAGACTCCTGTTCGCATGCAACCACAAAATGTCCTTTAGCGCAGCAGCTCCAAAATGTGTCACACACCAACTCACTTCAGATATTTATCAGATTATATTACATCGAGGATTCATTATAAGGCAAAGCCAGATTCTTGTAATTATTAAAACTGTATCTGTAAGTTGTATTTTTTAGAGTGTATATAAAATATTATTATATGTATAGATAACCTTATAACACAAAGAAAGAAACACACAACAGTATCAGGGTCTTTCCAGGTTTGCCATGTGCTTTTTATTTTTCTATAATTTCATTCATAGTTTAATTCATTTGTATTTGTTACACAAGACATTAGGCATTGCTCACATACTAGTGATCAAACAAGGACAGTAAGTTTTTCTACTACTCAGCCTTAACTATTTTTATCTTTTGTCAATTTTTCAAGGGATATTGTCAATAGTGGTTTCCAAAAAAGGCCAAACTGGATGGAAATTAAAACAGTACGACCACACATGAGGCTTTTGATTTCAATAAATAAAAAAGAGAAGACAGTATCTGATGCTGAGGAAGGGGAAAGGGAGGGAGGGCTTCGGATATATCGAAGAGTAAACATTATTCCAGTATCCAGGATGAAGACCACACACAATGTTGAAACACACAGCTGTATAGGTTTTAATAGCTAATAACTGATGGCTGCTGCTGTTATCCTGCCATCATAACCTGTTTCTTATTATAATCAAATGAAATCACGATGCAGCACTGGAATGATCACTGAATAAGGTAAACATAACACAGCAAATAACAAACAAACAAAAACAAGGAATTTCGGTGCAATTTCCGTTTTTATCATCAGAACAAAATCTAATAGCATAGCATATTCGGCGTACACCTTTTCCACAATACGTCAGTGAAATGTAAATAAATAGAGCATAACAATAAGACACGCCAACACCCCCAAAACAGCGAGATAACTATGTTTAGAGTTTGTGTTGGGTAAAGTGAGATGGAACTGCTTCAGTGTTTTAAATAAAAACGATCAGGGCGTCTCGTCTGTTTGTTTGTTGTGTAACAAGCCACAGATCAATCTAACTGTACGTGAGATATGAGGAACTGCCTCCGCTCAGGTGTACAGAAACAGCTGATGGAAAACAATATCCCTTCTATAGTATTCAGTCAGATCTGCGGAGCAACACGCAACAACAAACTGCACTTTGTCAGCAACTTTTGCCAATAACAGCAACACCATTTTTGGCACTAGAGCGACGTGCCACTAACGGTTAGTTAAAAACAAAGCAGTCATATTTGAAAAGGGTCTAAATATTCTATTAAGACCCCAGAAATTAAGGCTACAACCAATAAAAAAGGATCTTGGTTCGTTCTCGTGGGGCAGCACCTGCAACTGTGGCTTCTCACCTTTGCTACAAAGTCTTTTAAAGTTACGGGAGTCTCCAGCCTTTCCCTCTATTTAACTACTACAATTTGTCATAGGATGTTTAGTCCCTGGAGAAGTGACTTACCTAAAGGACACACACAAGGGTTGAAACAACCGAACACACTCTGGTGCTTTCACTATCAGCCGAAATTTCAGTCTTCACCCTCTTCAGTTAAAAGTGAAACCTCCAAAATCCAAATCATTCCCATTCACATTTTTGTCCTTCACACTTCCTCGCATCTCAACAATTTTCCGTAATTTGTTTTCCTCACTCATTCCAGATCTCCCAGAATACTTCAGAGAAAGCCTCTTCCTGCCTCCTTTGCTCCTGACATTCCCTTTTTTTTTTTTTTTTTAACTTTAAGACCACGGATTCAACCTCAGATCTGTAAACTTCATAACTTCAGCCAGTGAAATGTGCACCAAATATATAGAGAAATAAAAACTCTTCAATAATTTAAAAATGTTAGAAAGTAAACTATTCAAATTGACATTACACAACAGAGATAAACAAAGGAACAGTTGTTTTTTTTGTTTTTTCGGGGTGACGGTTAATAGCCACGGGTTAGCTTGCTTGCTAGCAAAGGGAACACAACAGCATTGCAAAGTGAGCACTATCAGCTGACAGACAGCCCATGTATATGTCATTTTTCATCACATTGTTTTGTCTGACCAACAGATTTTTTTGCCAAAAGGAGTCTTTTGACCAAGTAAGAGAAAAGTGAAAGCAGGGTTGACAGGAGCAATGCGTGGAATGGTCCAGCCTTCATACCGCAGTGTCGTCTATGTAAAATACTACTGTGTGTAAAAGATGCATGCATGTCAACTGGATTCTACACTATAAGCCGTTACAGGTCTCTCATGTCAGACTTCTCAATGCCATCAATCTTCCAACCACCCGACGACCTCTGATACGAGGAGAAAGACGTTACAGAAAGAATGAAAATGCTCTGAAGATCGCCGACGACAAGTAATAAATTCACCTCTAATGATAATATTTAAGACATGGTTATACTGTAAATTCTACAATGGAATGAAAGACCATATCAACCCTGCTTTACAGTGACAGAGATAAGGAGTGTGAGTATTTGAACAGCGTGTGTGTATGTGTGGGGGTGTGTGTGTGTGTGAGCGTGTCAAGAGAGAGAGGGACGTAAGGGAGAGGAGGCAAAGAGCTGAGGCCAGAAACACACCCTCTCACCCCACTGATGGTTTTTCAAGGCCCTCTAACGGACCCTCTGCCTCATCTTTTGCCTCTTTTAAGCCCCGCCTCCTCTCCCAGGCCCCGCCCTCTCTCTGAAGCCTCTCTACCGCTCACTGCTCATCCTCCCCAAACACGTCGTTCTGTTTGCGCTTCATGTTCTCAAAGTCAAAGTCGCTGCCGGTCATGCGTTTGTAGATGTCCTTGATGTCGTTGCAGGTGGTCTCGAAGTGAGTGGTGGCATCGTAGGAGCTCGAGGCGAAGACCTGGGAGAGATAAAACAACAGACTGAGAATCTGCAGCGACACCAGCGTGGGGTTGGAAAGGTATGGTAAGATATCTGTCATAATATATCCTGACATCACTGTATTAAACTACTATTATTATTGTTATAATCATTATTGTGGAGGGTTTCTGTGAAACAGGAGTGACCAACAACAGTCACATCAGTGCTCTTCAATAGCTTAGAAATGTTAGCGACAGTGCTAGCCTGTTTCACATGGTCACCCAATTTCTTTAGCCTGTTAGCATGCTAACACATAGCTGTGCATTTAATAGTGACACATATTTCATTCAAAACCTTCTTTTTTTTTTTATTTCCCTCAAAACTAAAAGTGTCTACCTTGTGATAGATTCATCATCTTGGAAACAGATATGACCTGCTGATGGCACTAGTTAAAAAGTCTGTGGATAATCTAAGTCAGTAGGGTTCCTCATCATGGGACCATGATTGTCCGAATTATATTCCATTGTAATCCATACAATAGTTGTTGTTGAGTTACACCCGCGTATTAGCCATGAGCATATAGTTTCCATTTTCTCAGCAAAAGCTTTTTATAGTTTTCTGGAAGATAGGTCTTACCTGGCTCTCAGTCCCATCATCTGTGGGCTCATACAGGTCACTAATAGCCACAAACCTGTTAAAAAAAAAAACAACATTAATGAGTATTTTCACAAGCATACTTAAATATTTGTATGAAACTCTTTGTCATCAGAAGCTGTTAAGATGCTGACTTCTGGTCGATGGGCTCCAGCAGCTCCAGCGCCGGCTCGATCTCCGCCTCGGGCTCTTCGGTCTCCACTGTGGTGCTGATGATGGCGATGTACTTCCCCTGGGCCGCCACGTTGTGAGCGTAGGAGATCATGCACACGTAGATGTCTGGAGAATTGACCAAAAAGGGGTGAAGAGGAGGCGAAAGTCGAGTCAGAGATAGCGTTAAGCTGCTTTAACTGATTCTTTCCCACTTTAGGGGAAGTGGAATTACTTTAATTTTGGTACTAAAGGTTTATTTTAATGCCAATACTTTTGTAATTGTACTCCTCGAACACAGGACTATTACTTGTAACAGAGTGTTTATTCACTTTAGTATTGATACTTTAAATGAAGTACAATATCTAAGTACCTTTTCCACCACTGGTTTTTGAGCACCTAATGATATTTCGTGTATACACTCCTTTTAGCTCTGTCTGGCTCTTTAGCTACTAAATTAAAAGCTATACTAACTTTTTGTGGTGTTGGTCAGGGAGCTTCAAAAAGATTTCAAGAGATGTTTTCCTGAAAAGAGCTGGCTGCGTAAGGAAACAAGCTAATTCATGCCTCTCGCATAAAATACCAAGAAAAGTTGTGGGTCAGAAAGTCAAACAGTGATCTGATAGATAAAATAAATCTCCGTGGAGCTGAGAGGAACTGCAGAGTCGGTGGGTTTGAGAACCAGGGACCCATTTCACAAGTAGTCAAGAGATCCGTTGTTAATACCAGAACATTGATTATATGTGCTTTTAAAGAGTAAATTAAATAGAACTATGTGCATATTGTACACTATGGGGGATATGAGTCACTTAAAGGGTAACATTTAGAGACATGCATTGCTTCTTTTCTCCTCATAAGAGCGCTCCTTTATTTCTCCTCTTACAATCTAATCAATTACATTCAACAGAACGGCCATCTTTGTTATTGATCTTCCTGCTCCAATTCCTGAGAACTAAACGACGATCCTCACCTGAGTTGCGGTTAACCTGGTTCTGAGGAATGATGATCTGGCAGGAGTTGGCGTCGTTGGTGTTTTTGATCGGGTGGCTGAGGACGCAGATCACACGGATCACCTGACCCGCCTTACGGACGCGATCCGGGATGTAGCTGGGGTCGCAGATCAGCTGCTTACAACGAGCCACCTGCAGCAGGAAAAGTAGATAAATAAGATTAGATTAGATAAGACAAATCTTTATTAACAGTGGTGGAAGAAGTACTTTGATTTGTTACTTAAAGAGGCCCTTTTTTGCATTTAATGCCTCTACTGTGACATGTTTACATGCTTTAATGTTCAAAAAGTGTGGGAGAGAAACTCTGTAGCGAAATTTCGGATTTTAGCCTTTGTAGACCGTTTACATGCACAAAATAGGGGAAAATGAAAACCCCAAAAAGCATAATAGGGCCTCTTTAAGTAAAATTAGAAATACTGAATTGTTACAAATACTCTGTTCGAAGTCAAAGTCCTGCATTCAAAATCTTACTTAAGTAAAATTGCATAGTAGTAGCATTTTTAAGGACTTACTTGCTTGTTTATCCCCTCATAGAGCATAGAGAAAAGTAATGACATTTGCAGAATAATAAATCAGCGTACCTCTCCCTCAGACTTCACTCCAACAACATGGCCGTCTTCCATCACTATCTCCTCCACTGGTTTGTTCAGCATGTAGGTGCCTCCGTAGATTGCACTCAATCTACAAAGTGTTTAAAACCGGTTAAATCATGGATAATAATATGTTTAATTAAAGCTGTAATAATCAAGCACTATGGATGTAAAGTAAATGATAAAAGTTACCTGGCGAATCCCTGCGGCAGCTCTCCCAGGCCGTACAGGGGGTAGAGGTAGGGGCTCTTCCCATATCGAGCCAGCGACTCACTGTACAGCTTGATGCGGTTGATCGTCTCCAAACAGGGAACATCAAGATAGCTGAGGAAGAAACAGAAGAGGATTAATAGGGATCAAACTAGAATAATGAGAAATATATGATTGCGTTAATATAATATTCACAGCCAGAAAACTCATCTTACTCTACATACAGTATTGTAAAAAAAAAAATGTTTTTGCAGGTTTCATGGTATATAATTATATTTCTATTGATTTTGTATTACTATTATTTGTATTATTATTAGTATTAGTGGTACCAGTACCAGTATTATAATTATATTTTATTGTATTATTATTATATTTTAAAAATATTTATATATTATTTAATTTTTTTTATTACAATTATTACTATCAGTTTAATGACAAACAGAACTTGGTATTTGAGTTATATTAACGGATGTCCAAGCAGATTATGCTTCACTAAACGCAACAAAAGTGAGCTTCATTTTAAATTGTATTCGTTGTTTGCAGGTTAATTTAAAATAGATTATTCATATTTGATATCAGGCAGTCATTTACTACATATACATTTGAAAAACCCCTTATTTTCTTTAGTTATTTCATGTTAAAATAACAAAAGCAGCTGTGAAATGAAGCATCTGTTGTGAAATAAAACTGTAAAACATGTACTTTTGCAATTTAATAATGTTATTACTGGCTGCTGGTTCACAACTTCTTCTGTGTTAACCAACTGCTACTCATTTAATCTTATTTTATACAATTTCTTCTTTCTTATTAGATATGTTAATCTGCCCATTTGATTTGCCTTTCATCTGCACTGTCCCCTGTGCTGCAGTGAAGTAAACGTTCCGGCTGTGGTAGCATTAAAGGATTTCTGATGTGATGAGATAATGACATAAGGCTTTTGTTCTCACTCGTCCGTCCTGTAGAGGGCCAGGGCGTGGCCGGTGAAGTCGATCACATCCTGGCCGAGGTCGAACTTCTTGTAGACTTCCCTCATGTCGGTGGTTTTGGGGTCCACGCCCTCAAAGGTCTTGGGATCGTTCTCATCAAAGTTGGCCACAAAGACTAAGAACTTCCTGAACCTCCGCTTCTCAAACATTCCCATCAGATCTGCAAATTCAAACAGAGGCTTTTATTTTGAATACATGATCATTTAAGTATCATACTCCTGATATTTGAGACATTTTTGGGCGGCTTACTTGAAGCTAGTGCCTCGGTCTCGGTCGACGGCACCTTGTAGATCTTTCCTCCTTTGTACACGAAGCTGCCCTCCACCACTTTGAAGTCCAGGTACCGTGTCACTTCTGTGTAAAGCAGCATCTTCACCAGCTGACCTGCAAACACACACACACACACACACTTTACATCAATACAAAATGCCTTTTAAGCATCAAGACAGCGACTGAAACGTCACATATAGATAGTCTGGAGGCTTACTTTACATTTATATTTGATAGATATAAGTATAAATAGTTCAGTTTTGGTTTATTTGCACAATTTAATGAAAACCGAAGAAAAGATGCAGGAGTCAGAAAACCCACTGACCCTATTTGAAGCCTCGGCCTAACTAATGTTATATTTCCCAATTTTAGAATAAGACAGAAAATAATATCACTATGATGATAATAGTGACGGCAGCATTACTATTGTATAAAGACATAATACATTGTTGATACAATTAAGAGCCAACTCAAGGACCCACCTTTTCAAATGTGTCTTTTCATTGAATTATATTTTCTTATTTTCTTCTTGTTTTATTCAGTCAAGTGTTTTTCATAATGAAAGATGTGTTACTCTGAGTATTACCTAGAAAAGGGTGGGTGGGCTAGTATAGTTTATTTTATTTAGTTATCTTTTATTGTTTTTGGGTTTGAACAGCACTTAATGTAACCTTTTGTGTATGAAAAGTGCTATAAAAATGTTAATTAAAAAAAACACAACCATAGATGTAACAATTAAAAAACGACAGGAAATGTGATTGGATGATGAGCATGATGATTTTGGTTTATACACCTGCATTAACTCCTGTCAAAATGTGCTAATTGTCCATCTATCTCCCCAGTTTATGGTGAGTGAGTTTTATGGAGATATATTCATTCCTTTGTGTCTAAAACCAGTGATGCGGGACTGACCGTTGGCCATGAGGAATTTGGGGATGAGGTCTACGTTCCAGTCCCTTCCTCGGCCCATGGACTCGGGCGGGCTCTCTGGAAGACTGAAGCGCTTGTACAGCTGTGGAGGATCGACAGTAAAGTGAAACATGAACAACATCCTGTGAAGCTGCATAATGTAAAGCCTCACAAGAGGATTAGACGGTGAGCAGATGAAGACAATAAAAACAGCAGCTGGTGCACAATGGCACGGGGAGTAAACTGAGATGTACTGAGGGATATCAAATATATTGATTTGCTTTTATGGATCCCTGGGGGTGTTTTTTTCTTTACCTCCTCCAGAGGGGTGATGGAGGAGCTCTCGCCTCCATAGTAGGGGTTCCTGTCCATGTGCAGGACCTTTTTCCCGTTCACGGACATGATCCCGGACAGAATGCATTCCTGTATGGAACAAAATGTTATAATTAATTACATTGAATTCAAATGAAAATAGAGATTCAAGGCTTTATTGTCATATGCAGAATAGCTACAGTGTGGATAAGGCAATAAAAAGCTTAAATCCCAGGCTCTCTAGCAATGCTACATAAATATATATAACAATGAAACAAAAAACAATAAGGGTGGGGTCTGTGATAAGGCAATAGGTTTATAGAAGAGGTTATGACAGAAGGGTGCAGGGAGGACATAATTAACGTACTGCGCATGCGCGGTTTTATAGTTTCACCCACGTATCTACTGTCATCATAATAATTATTATCATTTGATAAGTAATACTAATGTATATTCTTAAAAAGAACACCAGCATTATATAATAACATCATAAAATATAAAAGACCATGAATTCAATAGGATATTTGATACCTGTTATACAACTAGGAAAATGTCGACTTTCACGGAACCCAGATTAATATTACTTTTAAATGTATCTGTCGCATTGGGAGTGAGGAGTAAATGAAATTGAGGCGTGGGTATGCTCTGTCATTTCATAAACCCGTGCTCAGGCCTGCGTCAGGATGGAGGCCTGTCTATGCAAAGAGGACCATGACACTGTGGGGTTACGCCTAAAAGATGCTACTGGGTGTAACACTGCCCTGATCCTGCTGCTGCGAGAACAATAAAATAACTCCTGGAGGCCGTGTTTCATCTTTTCCTACACATGCATGTCAAAGAACATTCAATTACATTTATCATATTGTAATTTTCTAATGTCATTAAGCCTGGGATGCAGGAGACTTTCACTTCTGCGCTCGGATAGACAAGAGGATAAATGGCTGAAAGCAATCATATGGAAGTTGGGACGATTTCGCGTAAAAGCAAATTATGTTTGACTACTTACTGTGAGTCCGGTGCCCAAAACGATCACATCATATTCCTCATCCATGTTGTATCACCGCCTCTCCCGTCTCGCCCTCTTTTTGCCTTGAGAAATAAAGGGTATTGAAGGAAAGAATGAACAGTCCACAAAACCCGGGGATCTAGCTCCCTTTTCTCTGCAAGAGTGCGTCAAACGGCTTGTTTAAAGTTGAGTATTATTTATGAATCGTTAGGCATTGATGACCAATGGAATAAACTGTCCACACTGTCACCGGCGAGGACGACCAAAGATGGCCCTGATCGTGGAGCACTCTAGAACAATGTGATTGCGCGACGGAAAGTAGTGCGTATCCTCCTCTCTTCCCATCCTGTCACACAATGGGCTCAAACTGAAAGGCTGGGTGTAATACGAAACCCTCCGCTGTGAGGTGGCTTTATCCAGCAATTTTACACATGTTTAGTTTCATTTCATACTTTGGCTCGGAGTTTAACATGTTTTGCCATTTAAATACATTTTGTACAAGTCTGTGCTATCTCTATTTTCTTTTTATATCCTTCCTTTCCAGTTGTAGGCGCAGCGTTACGCGGATGCAGGCAGTGGTATCCCTCCGCCACCACAGCTGTGTGGATGGGAGTTGCTTTCACTGACCTCACGCAGGCCCTTTTCAATAGAGAAAAACTGTGTCAAACTTTCATTATTTGCTTTTATGTTTTTCTTTAACAGTGTTTGTAAATGCATCTTATGGTTATAATGGGACATGATGATACGAACAGGGAAATATCCAAATGTAGGAGTGTGTCAGCACCATGGACAGTTGCCAGGTGTACCTGCCATTCATTGATAGCGCTGTTCAGCAGGCCTACATAGCATCTATGAATGTCTGTTTATGGCAACCGAAATATTATGACAGTTTATTGTTGAAGCCTCAAATACTTTCGTAAACATTAGCCAGTAGTTGAAGAAGTATTCAGATCTTTAATTTAAATGATCAATATCACAATGTGAACAATTCCAGTAAACGTGTTTTAGTCAAACCTTACATAAATAAATATAATAAAATAAAAGTATTTATCATCGGCAAAATGTACTTAGGTATTATAAGTATAATATGCATTAAAGTGTTACAAGTAAAAGTGTATTATTATGTATTCACATTTTATTTTTCAACCCATAAAGTGCATCTGTCCACTTGCTAACAATCGTTAACGTTAGCATTACAGCAGCAGCACAGACCGGAAGTCCCTGACAGCTAAGGATATCTTCCGGTGTCCTGGCTGAGAGAAATTAAACTATTCCTGAGTTTTTAATGTGACCAGAACAATGTGGACAGAGCTGCAGAAAGACAGCTGAGTATTTTGCACTTGTGGGCAGAGCAGAAGGAAAGAAAGAAACCGGAAGTCCGTTTCTCTCAGCACATGACTGTCAGCTGGTTTGCGTCACGTGAGCAGAACTTTGCGGAAAACGGAAAAATGTCAGTCTCGGGGAGCTCGAGTAAAGTGCGATTAATGGCGATGTTTGTACTTTTATTCGCCCTGTTTTCATCACAGAGCTCCGCTGCTCAAGTGCCACTTCTAATGTGGTCCAGTGAAGGGTAATATTTCATTTATTTTGTTATTGATTCATTACTTTTGACAGCATAACCGGCCAGCTGTGTGTCATGCTAATGCTAACACTTGTTGCTAACTTGTTTCTACTTCCAGATTCGACTAGCTAACTCGACCTAAACTAGCTAAATGCATAGGTTAAACTTTAATAACAAAGTATGCACCGTTTGGTGTGACGCATTATTTTAATTTCATATGGTACAAAACTTCGAAAAAGAAACCCGAGTTTCAAAACATTGTTACATATCCTAACTTATGGCTAGTTTCAATGTAATACATATATTTGTTTCCTGTATACAACATTTAAGTGATGCACTGAGTTAGCCTCTATGATCTAAATTGATTTCCTTTCTAACAGCTCATGTTATTTTTCATATTTGCACTGTTCACATTTGCACTCTTTACACATTATATATGGGGACTGCTGCACAGCTGTTCCTCAGGATAAATACAGTTGTGTCCTATCTTATATTTTGCCAAAACATAATATATAAATACACTGTTGGTAAACTTGTAGTTTCATAAAAAGAATTGAGTTTAAACTTGGTTTTTCATAACAAGTAACTTTTACTTAGATCCATGTATATGATTTCAGTTGTCTGTGAACAAATTATTTGACTTCACTGTTACACTTTATTGTTACTGTCTGAAAGTTTGATGATTATACCCCAACATCACAAAACAAATGATAAGAAATGAATTTCAAAAATACAGTTTAGGTGGCATCTGTTGAATTGCCATAATACCCTAATGTCTGACTCTTTTGCTTAAAAAGAAATGTAATGTTGGTGGTAGTGCTGCCATGTTTAATGAATTTATTTAGTTTTGACAAAAAATAAAATGTTATAGGTGAATAATGGCCTTTTGCATGCCAAATTAGATTCTTTGAAATGCTGAATGTACTTTGTTCATAATATGTGTATATAGTATCTAAATTGTTTTGTTTTTTATCTTTCCTACATGTTCAGCCTGCCACCCCTGGCCTCACCGGCCGCTGGTCACATCACATCCAACGACCAGCTGACTGCCTACCTCACCTCTGCCTTTGGCTCCGGCCCCAACACTGTGCTGCTATTCCTGCAGGACAAGGTCAGTCCCTGAAACGATAAATCTATACTCCTTCTTTACCACAAACATTATAACAGCATGCCACTAGACATATTGGGCTATGGGTGAAAGGTGTTGAGAAGTAGGACTACTCTAAGATGTTCATAGATTTCCATATTCATTGAATACAAAGAGAGTTCATGGATATGTAATGTGTAAAACAGGGTAGTAATGAGTCAGTGTGTAGTTGCACTGCAGTCCCATGTGACTCTGTGTAACCGTCTTCTCACTCTGGTGTGACAATGAGCCTCAGCATTACTTCCCCATTCTCAGTTCCTCTCTAACACATTGTCCGCGTCTGTTCTCTGTGGTGGACCGTCATTATTGTGATAATTGGGATTTTTAACCGTTTTTGTTGTATTTAAAGCCGGTAGAGTCAACGATTATGAAGAAAGATTGTTTATACCCCCCTACGTATTTACTGTGCTTCTTGCTCCCAATGCCTTTCTCTATTTACTTTCACGGCCTTTCCTTTGCCAAAGCATGAAAGCCCTGTTGCTTATATGTTTGATTAGTGTTATTTGTTCCCCATTTACCAAACCAGGGCTGTTTATGAACACCAGATTATGTTTCAGAGCACACGCAGAACAAACAGCCAGTAGACTGTGAGGAGATATTCATTGAATCAGATAAACAATTGACTGAATTAGAATTGCTGAAACTTCTCAAATCCAAATATCGTATCACTTATCTGCTTATGTAGTTGTTGAATTTGATATTTCATTGTCCTTATTTGTGTTCAGTTAAGCAAAGAAGACTTCACGCTGTTTGGTGGAGTGTTTGGAAACAAGCAGGACAGTGCCTTCCAAAACCTTGAGGTAGGTTTTTATAACTTCATACATGACTACTACATAAAGAGGATTTTGTCACACTAATAAAACTTACAATTCCTCCCCTCTCTCCTCTTCAGGCTGCACTGCAGGCTTCCCCCTCCTCAGTGTCGCTGCCTGCTTTAGAGTGGTCCGACTCCTCTGTGATGCTGGCTCTGCTGCAGGAGAAGCTGGATGTCTCTCCGGTGCTCGTGGACGCAGACACTCTGTCCCATCTCAGCATAAACACATCCGCCAGCAACCTCCTGCTCATCAATCTCCCCTACTGCACCAGGTAAGACTTGTGCAGCATCCCAATCAATGGAAGGAAGATAAATGGTCTTTTTTGACTCGGTGAAAATTAACATTATACTGTTTTTATAGCTTGGAAAAGTCTTGCAAGGAAGTCCTGCATGAAAATGGTACGTTTGTAAGGAATTTCATAGTGTAACATAATCAGTATTTCGGTTATTGTAAAGTATATTTCGGATGTGTAACTCGAGTGTATTTTGCTTTCAACAGATGGAATTATTGGGGAGGTTTTGAGTATCATGAAAGATAAAGATGTCCATTTCACTGCGATGTACACGGGACTCCAGCCCTCACGAGTAAGATATTTCTACTAGCACATCATGTATCTGAATTATACAATATATATACATTTTAGTGATTTATATATGTATCCAACAACATATAAAGTACACCATTTTTTTTTCTTACTTTCCCTTCTTAGGTTTATATCAATATTTGTTTTCTATTTTTTAATAATCCTTCATTTTTTCCCAATCTAAAGTAGAGCTACTGTCACAAAACCTTATTTCACCCGGGTTAAATAAAGGATTTTGATTCTGATTTTCCCTTCAGGTGATTTCAGAGAGGTCCATGTCTCAGCAGGCTGTGGGCCGGTCCCTGCTGCAGGCCGTGGAGCCCACAGTCAAAGAGCCCATCATGTTTAATGCCTCCGGGAACCCCTGCATCATGCTCTGGGCTCAGAATCTCAACATCAGCCTCACAGGCGAATGGATCGACCTCGCTGCACAAACGCCATCGTTGGACGGATCCATTTGCAACGGCAGCAACTCACTGTGAGATGGCCGGCATGCTGCCATGTTTTTAGGTCAAGTGAAAAGAACAGTTTCCTTTTATTCAAATGAAACAAGTCATTTAAAATATATTCTTCTTTTCTCACTCTAGGCTTGTCCTGACCTATGCATCCGGCCACATACTACGGTAAGACAATACATTTATCATTAAAAGAAATTGTCAATTGCTTTGGGAACTCGTTCTTATCAATAGTCTGATGATGATGTTGCTACAGACAGTAGCTTGTTAGCTTAGCACAACAACTGGAAACTGTTATTCCATCTTTTTCCAAAGGTGACAAAATCATCCATCTCCTCAAAAGCTCACCCGTTAGCATGTTTGTTTTGTCAGTACTGTAACAGAAGGGTAAAAACGTGTCCTTTTTTTTGTCATTTTCAAAAAAAAGTCCCACATTCCCCTCAATAAATAATTGTTGTACACTTTAACTACAGAGATTTTAAAAAAATGAGAGCAAATAAGCGTCACACTTCTCTTAAGCCACTGGGAAATGCTGTCCATTCTTAAGTATTTCTCTTTCATGGTAACCGTTTGTACAGAGTTTAACATTCAGAGTTTCTGTTTCAGATCCTTTTTAATAATAACAAAATGTAATATTGGAAAGGTTAGAATTAACCTCTGAAACATTAAATGAGTTCAATGTAATAGAGCCAGGGTTAGTGCTAATGCTGTCTGTCTCAGTTGTCTGTCTTTTTTTGATACCACCACTACCATATATTTATAGAAAGGAACAGTAATTTCTCAACATTTTTGCAATTTTCACCAGACTTTTACACATATGCTGTCATTAATATACATTTCTGTTTATCTCCAGTTTTGCCATGAGTCAGCGGCTCTACAAGGTGTCCGCACGAAACTGGTTCACGTTGGACTCTGTGCAGCTGCAGTTGAAAGATCTCACTGCGTCTTACATCGGGAGTCGCAACATCTACGCGCCTGCAGAGTACTCCTTCCACTGCCAGTCCGTCACCAGCTTCAGAGACATCCTGCTGGTGCCGAGCAACAACAACAAGAGCACCACACAGTGGAGGCTCAACTTTGTCGACTTCCAGGTACAAATATATTGCTTTTACAGCCTTAGATTTTCTGCAGCAGTGCATCAAATTATTCATGGTGTGTTCAGGTGTCTCTTGAGTTTTATTCATTGATGTTTTTTTTGCTTTTTCCGATACAGATTCAGGGTTTCGGTTTGGCCAACGGCACAAACTTCTCCTACGCCAGCGACTGTGCCGGCTTCTTCACCGCGGGGATCTGGATGGGCCTGATTACCTCACTGCTCATGCTGTGGATTTTTGTGTACGGTATGCACATGATCATGCAGCTCAACACAATGGATCGGTTCGACGACCCCAAAGGTCCTTCGATTTCAGTGCCTCAGACAGAGTGAATCATTCCTCAAACACACACACTCCTCTGTCCTTCAGTGCCTCCTAGGAGACTCCCTCCTTGTCGTGTTGCTGTGTTTTGGCCTTTTTCTTTTAATATATGTGTTCAAATCTTTACTCTGATTTTCTCTTCTGTCATTTTCTATCCTGAATCCTTCCACAGCTGTCTTTTGGATACGGTTATCTTGCAAAGCACATTTTATTTCACCTCCACCAGTGCCAAAGAGGATGCACCTTTTTTCCTAGTTGGTGAGAAGTGCATCTGCTAAAATATGTTTTTGTGCTACTGTTGGCCTGACTTATTTTCCTTAAAATGATAAGCAATCATTTCTCAAAACCAGAGAATGTATTCTGTGCCAACATGAATGTGATGCTTGATGCTGTAGGACCGTATCAGACCTCTTACCTTTTCATTTTTTTCAACGTAACTGTAATTTCAAGATTACTGGTTATGAAAAATAAGTGCCTGTATATAAAGAGTACATTTATGTTTGTGACTTTTGGAATTGCCTTGGAAAGGTATGTTAATAATTAACCTTGGATGTAGTTCTGTTCTTGCTACTAGCAGACAAATCCAACTCAAGTGCCACAAAGTAATTCAAATATTTCTTCTTGAGTAATTTATTTATGTAAAAAACACGTTTAATGCTTATCTTTAAAGTTTACTCCATTGCTTCAGGTTCATCAAAGAATAATAGTGCCTCATTTCTGCTTGTGTCAAACCTTTGAATGTGCAATTGCCTTGACATGTAAATTGTCCCCAATTGAAAATAAAGATATCTGTAAATATTGGTGTAAATCGGTTGTTTTAATGCAAATATCCGAATGTGTCATTTTTCACGAGTAGGAAACGCCATGAATTTGCGTCAATTAACGTAACAGTTCGGTTGCCATAGTTGCAATGTCAAAACACAACAACGTCATCATAGCTAGTGGAGACGTTGCTAACAGCCTGGGAGCGTAATTCTACTTATAGTTTCTTGTTTTTCACAATTTTCTTAACCACAAGTTGTTTCTAAAATGTCAGAAGCTCAAATTCAGGGAGTCTGTTTCGGCACCTCCCAGGACAGGAAACTTTTCCCCGCAAATTTTGCACCAGACCGGCTGGGAAACCAAATGGCACGACCGGAAGTGCCGCACATCGGCCCCGGCAGCTATGACAACCACGAGGTCTGTGTCATCTGCTTATTTTTATATATATTCACGCATAATAAATTGTCCTTTAAAAAAAAAAAAAAATACAAACTCAAAGTGTTTTAAACCCTAATTTGCTGGTTTGCTCTATCATGTTAATGTGTATTGTATACACTTTATTTACATAGCTCCTTCCATTCATATTATATTTCCATTTCTTTGCAGTACGGCACCATAGTGTATGATCTGCAGAAGACACCGGGCAGTAAGAAAGGATACAGTCTGTCTGCGAGGACTGCAGCTCGCTTTCCGCCCTGCAGTCAGGTAGATATTCACCTCCAATGAGGGTTTTACCATAAGGGGGCTCTCCGCCATTTTTTCTTATGATTAGTTTCAGCTGTACTGCTGTTGGATAGTTTAATTTATAGTAAAGCACCATATTTCATAAGCTCTTTATATGTTTTGTAAGCAAACATCCAGTACCACCAGGCACATCCATTATTCCTAAAAAATAAGAAGACAGTAGGCTACTGAGGTTGGTTTTAAGTTGGATAGGCCTTTAAGACATGTTTTATGCTATCCTTAATTGGTTTCACAAACACAAACCCAATGTTAAAAGAATGCCAAGATAAAATAATATTTCTCATGCGGAACAGGTTTTTGGATTACTGGTGTGTCATTAATTGATTTCACATAATATATATTTCAATAGAATAACATTTTTGTTTCCCAATACACATGTTTCTCATGGGTGACTCCAAATCTATATCAGCTTTTATTACTACACTCGACAAATAAGACAAACCTCTTTTATTGAATTTAAGTAATTTTTCAATTAGATTATGAATGTCCAATAGCCACATAAACTAACGTCCTCAAACAACACCAGGAGATATCAAACACAACTACTAAAACTATGTTCTTGGGATTCCCCCAACATCTTTCAAGTATGGTGCTACGAGGCTGGAATACCCATCGAACATGTTACGTTTATTTCTTATATATTCTACCCCCAGACAGCGACCCCTTCCCCACTGCAGTACCAGCAGGATCAAAGCTACTCCAGAGTCCCCCCTCCTGGCAAAACCCCTTTCGCCTCGACCACACAGAGGTTCAAAACCATGTTGTGTACAGCCAAGGACAGCCCAGGGTAACTAACACACACACACACACACACACACACACACACACACACACACACACACACACACACACACACACACACACACACACACACACACACACACACACACACACACACACACACACACACACACCCCCCTCTGAACTGACAGATGTTTGATACAGGCCTGGGACCTATGCTCACGATGCGGTGACTGACAGGAAGGTGAGCTGGCCGATGTGCTTCGGGAGCCCTGATTGGTCCAGACTGCCTCAGATAGAGAAGACGTCCCTCAGAGTGAAGGTAAAGTATTGACTCCAATGTCAAAATATACTAATAGAGGCATTTTGATTGAGCTTCGCATATCCATATTCAAGCTAAATCCAGTAATAGGATGACTTTTTTTGAATTATTTCGACATGACTTTTTGCATTTTTTTGAAATACAAGACAAAGACTTTTCAACACACCGTACTATTATTTTTTTGTATTAATTCAACATACCCTAAGACTTTTCTTCGACATACTGTACTATAATATGTATTTTTTCCACATACTATACTGTTTTCAGACATTCTCGACATACGGTGACGTTTTTTTATATTTTCCAACATTCCATACTATGACTTTTTAGACATACTATACTATGTCGTTTTTCTTTTTTCCCCACATAGCCCTGAATTCAGCAACATGTAATATTATTGTGTTTCAGCTAAACAATGAAAAGGAGTTCATGAAGCACAGAAGGAGAGTGGCCTACCTGAGTCTGTACTATTAATTGTAAAGTTAATTGACAAATGCCATTATAACATTGACTTAAGAAGTTTCCTTTTTCAAATGTTTTAAACTAAATATTTACCAACAATGTAATGGTTGTAACTGTTGTCATAAATTGATGGATATATAAAGAGGGAAAAAAAATATAGAAGCTTATTTTTTCTTTATTCACAAAATGACTGTATTGTTTGTTTTTTACACCGTGATGTTGCTTACAATTTTTTGACAAAGTGATTGCTTGCTGCAAAATGGAAACAAAAAAGATCTCTTCAATAGAAGTCCGTCGGTATACAAAAATCCAACAGCAGTGCTGGTCCCATCGTCACTGACCGGACTGCTGTGGCAACTGAGAGTCTGTCTGTTCATAAAGAGCTCATTTCTTCCTCCTCACTTTGGGCTTCTTGACCGGCCGGAGGTAAGGGTTGTCGATCACGCTGTCCTCCGTGGCCTTTACGGAGGGAACGACGCTGCTGGGAGGAAGCATGGAGTTCTCTTTGTCCGCTCCTGGATCATCCTGAGAGGGAAACGGAAACATTTCTTTAAGAGCTATCGTTGCTAAACACATATTTAGCTTTATTGCTGGGTGATTTAGATTCTCACCTCTCTTAAATGTTCTCAAAATATGTAGCTTTGGTAATATTAAGCTAATATGAAATATTTATTATGTATAAACACGTGTAATCAAGAGGGCAAATTTAATTATTTAAACTCAGTTTTTGCACGTTCTTGTCTGTAAGCTTTTGTGTCGGTTTACCCGTTTCTGTGATTTTATGTCACCTTAAACTGATTATCTGCTTTGCTATATGTTCTGTTACTTCATTTTAAGTTGTCACATTTAAAATGTTTGAGCTGATTGCATAAGTAATCAGCTCAATTAAGTCAAAGTAATGTCTTACTTTGACTTCATTTGTTTGAGATAATATATATATTTTTTCCCTTAACAATCGTCATTACTTTAAGAAAAAAATAAGTTTAACGAACTACCCTATGATATTTTATCGACATACTATGACGACTTTTTTTACTTAACTAGGACTTCTTTTTGAAAATACTATACTATGGCTTTCCATAATGTCTGACTTTTGGGGATTTTAGGTAAGGTTTCCTTTGACTTTATTTTGGACATTCTATACTATGCCTTTATTTTTGAAATACTAAATTATGACATTTTTACTATAAAATAAAATAAAAATGTGACATATACAAGTATTTTTTTTTTTTTTAAGTGACTTACATTGGTGATGTTCCCTGCTGCGTTCTCGCTGTCGGTCTGGTCGTCCTGCTCCGAGGAGTCCGTCTCCTCCAGAGTCTGCAGCTCCAGCTCCGAGGGCAGGAGCGCGCTGAGATACGGGATGGAGCTCGGCTGGGCTGCGATCACTGAGAACACAATCACAGAGATAAGCAATGACGTAAAAACAAATACTACTTTCCGAGGCAGAACAGACATGAAGCTGCAAACCATGGTTGGATTACTGAACTGCCTTAACAGACACAGGGGGCCCCCCCCCCCCCCCCCCACTGGCTTTGACCTGCAAAATGACTCAAGTCCCTCGATGGACAAAAAACAACTAGGAAGAAACCCTTCTTTAAAAAGTAGTAAAATGACCAGAGAGAAATATACAAAGACTGCCAAAAGATGTAAAACAGAGACCATGACACTTATGACGACTATGAAAAGCAGCAAAACCAACAGAGAGGACATAAAGTAACTACAAAGAGACACAAAACAACAAGAATAAGAATGTAAAGTCTGTGTTTTGCTCTTATTAAGAAATGGTTGTGCCCAGGGGCCCATGGTTTCATCACGCTCCATTGTGTAAAAAACCTATTACAACAGAGTTTGGAAAGACAGGCTCTCTTATGTAATCACTCACATGGGAAGGCAGTGATGTCGTCTTTGAAAAGGCTCTGGGTCTCCCCGGTCTTTGCCATGAAGCGAGTGAGCGCTCGCTCCACGTCTCTCCTCTGACTCGCTGCCTTCTCTCTCACAACTTGGTAGTCCGATACAGGCTCTCTGAATGTCTGAGTGGAGATCAAAAAAGAATGAAAAACACTTCACCTTCTGAATTTCATCCGTTAGACATTAAGAAGGGCTGGCTGGCTAACGCCCTGATGAGTGGAGTAACTGAAGGTCAACATTATACATTTAATGGAAAATGGCATTGGTTCAGGATTTGTTTGGAGATCTTTATAACAGCCAAGACAATGTTTTTACTCACGGGTGTTTTGATGTAGGTGTGAGGGTCAGGGAATTCTGGGAAGTGGCCTTGGATGTAAGCAGGATGTGTGCGTTTCTGTCCCGCTGACAGAGCTCTGGGAGTCACAGGTTGGTTCGTCACTGGAGCTGAAGGTGACAGAAAGAATACGTTTAAATATATTTTTCAAATAAAGATCCAATTTAGAAAGTGAGACTACCATTACTCGTCAATTTCCTAATCCGTACTAAGAGTGTAAAGCAGAGTGTGTACTTACGGGCAGTTATGACCATCCTCTGTGATCTCTTGGCATACACAGGCAGGGTGTCTGCGTTGAAACCTGCAGTGACACGAACATTAAATCAAGTCCTCTGCGCTACCTTGTGCATAATTGATATGTCGGCGCCACTGGTACTTACCCATTTCAATGAGTGTGACCACAGTATCTGAGAGGGTGGGGACGCTTCTGGCTGTGTGTTCACAGTAAGCTTTAGCACACCGACCTATTTCAGTTATATCTGGAGAAGGGACAAAAACAACACTGGGGTTAAGAAAGACTCTGCATTAGACTACATTTAGCTTTTATCCAGAGACTTACAATAAGTGCAATCAACCAACAGGATACTCCAACTCTGCTCATGAAGGCGGATCATTTGGCATAAATAATAAATGCATGAGTCATAGAGATGATATTTAATTTGTGTGTGCAGTAATACTTTTTGGTGGAATATGTGGAAGCACACAGGGTTGATACAGCAGATTAAAGATAGGACAATATTGGCTTTTTATTGCAAATGATGATTAAAAAGACTCAATAGGTTGATTGTGATGAGTTTCCATGATAAGGTTTATGGAGAATCCTAATGAGTCATATAGTGAAAAAGCTTTCTATCATGTTATATTAGTGAAAAATAGAGCCTGATTATAACATCCGCTGACAGTGAATGGCGCTGTCAACACTTCCAGTTTCAAAGTAAATCCTGTCACTGCTTTCACATTCAAATGCAATATTTGACTCAAGCAGATGCAGGAAGCCGCAGCATAACAAGTTAAAAGTGTGCTCAAAGCAGCAAATAAATGATGTATTGAATGTGGAGCAGTGTCATAACTTTTTAATGCATGTCACATATTTAACATATGTAACATTAAGCTGTCTGTGGCTCTTTTTCCTGCTGTAACTACGCACATTTCCCCTCCTGGAACACACTTCAGCAGGAACTTAAGCTGACCAGTTTGATACCCATCACGGATTTTAAACTAATTTTAAAAAAGCTGGAGAAATCATCTGTGGGTGTTTGCACCTGCTATATCTGAATACTTTATATGGATTTCAATGACTACTTTTTTTACGATGTTGTATTTTATTGTTGCCTCTGTGTTTAGTGTCCTGTCTGTAACTTTGTGTGGTAGTGTTACCACTGACAGGTCTCTCTTGCAAATGAGACCTTGTGTCTCAATGAGATTTTACACCTGTATAAATAAAGGCTAAATAAAAATAAATAAATAAAGGGATTCTGATTCTGATGTGGACTTTGCCCAATACACATAATGAGGTCAGTACCAGGGTTCATACTGATCCAACAAATCCAACTCAATATCATCAACAATAATGAAGAATGACCGCCATTAGACTCAATCACTATCTACACAAAAAAGGGGCCTGCACAAATGATTTCATGCAAGTTTTCTAAATTCAACAGAGAATGTATTATTTTTGCCCCAAATCTTGGCACACAGAATACATATTTGATAAATGTGTGATCTCGCACACAGTAAGATAGACATGACTGCGCTTTAATGCAAGTCCATTCAAATGAAAATGAGTCACACTGTTTGTAATCTCTGTCCACAAATAAAAGATGCATCCCTAAGGATAAATGAAGCTCCACTCTAGTATTGATACATACAGCTCTGCATCATCTCAGTGAGCGTCTCTACGGCTGCCTTCTCGGCGCTCTCGAAGCCGCTCTCTGTCAGCAGGGCGCTGACCACGACCTGCAGGGTGCGGCGCCGCGCCAGGTGGTAGTTCTCTGCTGGGCTGGTGGCGGCTTTACCCCCACTCCCCCGCTGGAACACATACAAGAAATAACACATCAAGTAGGTGAGAAGAAAGATCCCCAAGAGGACAAATGATCATCACAGTATGAAAGAAGAACAACATAACGTTGACTATAAGGGTGGGAACAAAGCTCAGTTACAACAATCCAATCATATGAGAGTATTACATTACAAGGGTTTTAATGGTCCAAGCTAATTTAGTTGAAGAAGTTTTCTACACGGAAACGTTTTGTCCTTAAGTTTCTTAAGATTTTCTGAGCTGTAGTGAAGAATAAGTATGAGTAGCCTTAAAGGGAAATACTTAAGTTCAGAAATGCTTGAATGTGAACTTAATTACAGTACATCAGTTAATGTACATTTCGCGGTCTTTCCCATGACATTATTATTATTACAACGAGGGCAACACATACAGATAATTGTACCTACACTAACAACCCTACTGTACACATCATATCAGTCACATTGTTAGCTGGTAAATATAGAGATAAAGAGTCTGTAGCGTTAGAAACATGTCCACATGCCTTGTAAATGTAACGATACTTTTCGCGACGGTTAAATTACCATTCATTAGCTTGTACATGCACATTAGTAACATTAGTACGGTGATGTAGCTAACCTTGTCGTCTGTGATGAGGTACAGCAGGCTCATTGTGTATTTAGGAGAAGCTATTTTAAGTTATTGAGACACATTCAGCACAGACGAGTGTCTTCCATCTAACAGCTAACAGTTAGCAAAACACCAACAGCTCAGTTAGCTTCATAATGCTAATGACGGTGAGTATAAAAGCCGTCTCTTACCCCTCCTGCACTCAGTGCGGCCCCCGATGCCACCGCAGGGTCTGCCATATCTTATTTGGTGTAATGTTTCTCGTTGGAGTTAAGTAATTTAATTATATAGTAACAAAACATGAATTTCTTCGACGGCAGTGTTAGCCGCGGTTAGTAAACAAGGATCTATTTCGTCGTTTCCGGTTTGCGTCACATGGGCGGAAGTTGAAATGAACCCAATATGTATTTACTTCCGCCATCGAGTGGTTGTTTGTAGAATTACACATGCTGTCATTCTGTCAGTGACTTGTGGACAGTGATGACATGATGGTAGTTTTATTCAGTTACTGTACTAATGTTTACTCTATTTGTCTAATTGCTTGAGTTACACATTTGAGTTACTTTTTGGATCACATTTGCGTTGCTGAAGATCAAACAGCCAAATGTTCTTAATGTAACAAACGTTTTCATTATGCAGAATGGGCCACTTTAGAATAATATAACACATCCGGATTATAAATATTGAACAACTAAACACATCATCCTCTATTATTTGATTTATATTTATGCTGACAGGAATACATTTTCTGCAGAATGTGTACTTTTACTTTTCATAGGCCTACGTTTCGATCACAATATTTACATCCTTTACATAAGTAAGGAACTAAATGCAAGTCTTTAACCTGTAATTGAGTATTTTTATGTACAATCTATTCTTTATTATACATCTATTTGATCTTCTTGCAACATGTACAAAGTGCTAGTCTAAAATAAGACTCGATTGAGTTGCTAGCTGAAGAATAGCTTTATTCGAGTGCAAAACGAATTTAATCACACACATTCAATTTGTTTCCCAAAACATTCATCAATTTACATCCACAAGTATCTGCTGCCCAGCAGCCAGACATTACTGTAGCCTGCAGTGTATATCATTTCTTTCATGTTTAACCAAATCTGAAATAAAAGAACGAGTACAAAGTGACAAGTTCAACGTGGTGACTTAATTTAGCACCATTACCATTAACATTTTTGAGTGTTGTGTCCATTTACACCAGTAGAGGAGGGTTTCTTAAGAACCAAGTAAGCGGATGGAGCTTCTCCTCCGGCCCGTCACCAGATGTTTGGCCTTGGCCTCCATCAGCTCCGTCTGGTACACGTCATCCTCTTCAGGGCTGACCACGGTCATGTCTGGCTTCTTCTCCTTCTTGTTCTTCTCCATGATGAGCTCTCCTGGAGCGTCCTCAACAGTTTCCTGCTCCACAAACGGCAGGAGAACAGTTTCCACCAGTCCTCCCACGACTCCCAGCACCACCAGAGTGGAGCCCAGCATGTAGAGCTTCAGCATGCTGAGGCTGGGCCTCTGGGTCAGCATCTCCTTAGCAAACGGGATGATCTCTCCAATGGTTTCCATAGTGTGATGCTTTGTAAGAGAAGGAAAAAGAAAGAGAATAACAAGACAGAAGTTTTGTTAGAGAAACCTGTCAGAGAACTATTTGTATTAAAGTCTTTTGGATACTTGATGTGCATATACTCACTTTGTCACACACTCCAAACTCTTTTTGGAGAAGAAAATACTTTGTCTTAATGTTCGGCCAAGTCAGGAATTCACAGGCAGAGAGATGAAGGCAGATCTTGCTATTTAAACCCAAGTGGAGCCAGGCCACCTCCCACAGTGGTGACGGCTTCATGAGGCTTACTGAAAATGCTTTCTGGAGATCAGGGCTTTGTTTGGGTAAAAGGGCACGGGTCTCTAGGACACGAAGTGAAGCCAATGTTCCCTGTAGGTGAAAAGCAGATGCAGATACATCATGCTGTCCTGAGCTGATCTGACCATGGAGCTGCCCATGAGGTCGTGTGAGAGGGTTAACATATGTGTGTGTGTGTGTGTGTGTGTGTGTGTGTGTGTGTGTGTGTGTGTGTGTGTGTGTGTGTGTGTGTGTGTGTGTGTGTGTGTGTGTGTGTGTGTGTGTGTGTGTGTGACAGGAAAGCAGACGAGTGAGTTGTGAAATGTGTCTGATCTTTGTCACAGAGACACATATCATCAGTTCTCAGAGAAAATGACAACCGAGACGAGACGTCTGCACACCATGACGTTTAATCCAGTTTGATTTATAGCTTTGTCACATCTTTAAAAGTGGACAGGGTTGGTTTCTGTCTGTCAGTGTACTTTGGTCCATCACGCAAACATGTTGGTGATCCCCTGACTCTCCCTGTAGCACCACCAGCAAGTTGACATTTATTTATGTATTGCAATATCTCAACAACCATTGGAGTAATTTTAAACTTTGTTCATGGTCCCCTCACGATGAATCATTATACGTTTGCTGATCCCTATACTTTTCATCAATCCAACATTTCAATTTGTAGAGTACTTGAATACAAACTTCCCTCAGCTTTCCCTGTGTTCAGTAGTAATTAGCAAATGTTAGCATGCTTAAATGCAACATTTATAAGATTACGATGGTAACCCTTATATCTGCTCACGTCAACGTGAACACCATCATTATTTTCTACTTAATATTCATTGTTTAGAAACAAATAATATTGCTGAATTCCAATATTTGCATTTTCTTTTTTGCATTTGTGTAAGGCACATGTGTCAAACTCAAGGCCCGGGGGCCAAATCAGGCCCTTGGTGGATTTAATTTCGGCCTGCAGGATAATTTCGAATAACTATTAGATCTGGCCCTCCGGTATATTGCACGCACACCTTCACTCAATCCTGAGGGTTTCCTCAGCTCAGAGCCTGACCCCAAACATTGATGAACTTGCACCCAAGATGAGATGCCAAGTATCTGGCTTGAACTAGCATCACAGAGCAGCACACTGAGTTTCCATGGATGTTTCTTTCTGCACTTTCTTTCTTGCGACAACAGGGCATGTTTGTTTTTTTCTTTGAGGGAAATTGTTTTTTTGAAGCTGTTGTTGGCCTGTGGACAAATGTAATCATAAGAAATGAAGCTGCAGATCGAGCCATAAGAAATGAATGCAACTGATTATTTAATGTTTAATGTTGTTTTTATAGGCAATCATTTAAGCTTTGTTAGTTCCAGGTTTAATATGTGCAATAAGTTCATTTCAATAAGTTCTGCAATAAACATTGAACCAGTCCGGCCCTCGACTAGTACCCATTTTTGGCCCACTGTGTATTTGAGTTTGACACCCCTGGTGTAAGGTGTTTTACATTTACAGACTAACCTACGGACTGTTGATCTGTTCACCCAAATAAAATTGGAACAAATCTCCATGTACAAAAAACGAACACAGGGACACCCTAATCCCAAACAACTGGTGCCATTTTTCTTCTTTGTTTTTTGCCCAGCTGTGAGGAAATGTGGCCAAATTAAAGAACAACCTTTCCCCCTGTTAGAAAGTTTTATAGTGCCCACTTTGCACAAACGCTGCTGGTAATATCTCTATAAATACACTGTCAATAGCTTTCCTCTTTGAGCAGCCTGGGATCTGAGCATGTCTGTTCGCCAGTTCTGAGAAAAGGTTGAGACTGTTTGGAGACCTTTGCCCTATAATTCTGGCTCCTTCTGCTTGAATGGACAGTCTGTCTCTGGTCTTCAGCAAGTCAACAATGTTACAGGCGTGTGTGTGTGTGTGTGTGTGTGTGTGTGTGTGTGTGTGTGTGTGTGTGTGTGTGTGTGTGTGTGTGTGTGTGTGTGTGTGTACATAGAAGGTTTTATATGGCCTGTAGACGTGAAAAGGAAAAGTAAACACTGGGTTTGTGTGTGTTGCATTAAGTCAACGTTTGTTTTGTTTTATGTTTACTGACTTTTAGAATTTGTAATTTTGTAAAATATCGTTTAAAATGAGTCTCTTCCTTTTGTTTCCTATTTATTTCATCATGATCTGTGTTAAATAAGCACAACAAATACATACATGTCCATACAGGAAAGGACAAAAATAAATATAGCAAAATAAAAGAGATAAGAGATAAGATAATACTGAGTAAATGCATTAATAGCTTAACCTCATCACAATTTAACATTAGCATTTCTGTTTCACTTTGTTTTATCAGATGTACATTTCATTATTCATATAAAGTGGGTGCCATTGTTTAATATATATTAATTGAATATCATTGCGCCATAGTGGCAAACATATTTAATGAATTGACCAATTCAGTTTTTTTTAATGGTTGGTGTGGAGTCATTTCTCAAACAAGAAATAGTAAAAATGGAGACAAATCAAACGGCAGAGCAAACTCAATGCAGGTTCTGTACAAGCTTTATTTATGAGCACACAGGGATCCATCCTAATACATGGACTCGATCAATAACTGCTGATGCATCAACACAAAGCGGAGAAACGGAAAACTGCTAAATGAAACGCTTACAGCAACACCTATTACAGCGAATATAAATAACACATTATATTCTAGCAGGTTGATGGCATGTGGAAGCTATGAGTTGGCAATATATACTTGATACACTTGTGGCATTTACACAGTTGGAAAATATATAATGTTTTTTGTCTGTATAGCTTTTTTAGTTTTTTTAAAAAGGATTTGAAATACATTAGAAATAAAAAAATAAAACCGACAAGCAATCAACACAAAGAATGAAAATGAGTTTATCCGGATGAGTTTACATCATTATGGCTTGTTTATATATGTATATATTTAAAGCAGCAGACATGCAGTTTCATATATTCTATTGCGCTAACAAATGTAGTTTTGCAAGAAGAAAGGGAAATATTTTACACACGATGTACAATAATTTATCTTATTGCGTTGTGTGTATTTTCTTAAACATATCCGCATATCCACAATCTGAATACATCTTGACATTTAATGTGCACTGATGAATTAAACTCCCTGATCAAAACAAACAGGAATTGTGATTGAACCTTCATGAGGCGTTCAGGGCTCAGAGACTGCTTCACCATGAATGAGCTTTAATACTGTCTGAACTGCCCTGCTTACTGAAGCCTACCCTGTGCATCTGAGTTCAAGTGAGGCGTGTGCATCTCAATGTGTGAGTGTGTGTGTGTGTGTGTGTGTGTGTGTGTGTGTGTGTGTGTGTGTGTGTGTGTGCGCTTCTGTGTAGCTTCTTAGGCACTCTTTCCAAGAAAATTAAAACGTCCCAGTGAATGTGAGGACCTCGCAGACCGTTAGAGTCCGTCAGAGGTTCTTCCACTTCTCATCACCGTGCGGGGGCCTGCTGACACAAAACAGCTGCATGCTGAGTCAGCACTGCAACTGCAACACTGACCTGCAGAGGGAGGAAACACACACTGGGTTAGACACACACACACACACCTGCAATGAGCTGACATTTACACAAAACATGCACAGGACCTTCACAGTCAGACATATTGACATTCAAATTGTCAAACAGAGGGCCATCTATTATGACTGAAGATGGGAAATGATGTGACATTAGAACTCCATTTACTGAATAAAGGGTCTCAGTTTTCATAATAATATAGAAGAATAGGCTTAATTATTCTATATAATAAAGCTTATAGTAAGAGCAGGCTCAGGCTTGCCATGAACATCCTCCTGGGTCCGATGTTCCATTTAGTTTTTTCTGATTGTATGAGTATTTTTATTTTAATTTTATTTCCTTTCTTTCTTATTTTATTTTGATCTTATTGTTTTAACTTTTTTCTTATTTATTTGAATTGTATTTAATTATAATGTATTTAAATGTATTTTATTGTAATGACTTCCCCTCTCATTCCTGTGTGTTCATATGAACAAACTGTAAAGCCCCTTGAGACACATGTGTTATTGGGCTATATCAAAAACATTTGATTTCATTTCATTGAAGGCATATCTGACCGATCACAGTAGGAAAACCACAGGTGTAAATATTACAATAAATGATGGCGGAGTGACATGAGGCCGTTTCAGCGTCACACTGCCCTGGAAATCTTGTTTATGTTATCAATGACACCAGCGGGCCACGTTTGTTTGACTTAGGATAGTTACACTTCATCAAATAGAGATTCAAATATAGCTACAATGTATTTGTACGTCATGAATATGTATTACTTGAACCTACCAGGTCAAATGTCTCCAGGTAAACGTCATGCAGCCTTCACATGACGGAGCAAACTCCAGTCTGCACCGTCTTAGCTATACGGCTTTTAGCGTACCTGGAATTAGAAGAGAGAAGTTTAATCAAGATTCAAGGATTCAAGGCTTTTATTGTCATGTGTGCATACAGTAGCTACAGTGTAGCTATGACAACGAAGATCTTAGGACACAGGCTCCTCCAACAGCGCAACACAATAACAGATAATAGTCCGGCAGTGGCTCAGTCAGTCCGGCAGTGGCTCAGTCAGTAGGGGCTTGGACTGGGAGCCGTAGGGTCGCTGGTTCAAGTCCCCGACCAGACCTAAATATGGAGTGTGGACTTCTACTTGGAGAGGTCCCAGTTCACCTCCTGCCCTGCCGTGGTGCCCTTGAGCAAGGCACCGGACACCCCCCTTCCCCCCCACTCCCATTGCTCCCCGGGCGCTGTACAATAGCTGCCCACTGCTCCTAGTACTAGACTCCTTGTACTAGGATGGGTTAAAAGCAGAGGCCAAATTTCACTGTGTGTGCTGTGTGCTCTGCATGTGTGACCATTAAAGAGGGTTTCATCCCTCCCTATTCTATTCTAATAGTGCAAGTAAATAAAATGAAATAGAATATAATATAAATAGTGCAGAATAGTCTATATACATATATATAAGTAATTGGAGTATTGATATATTTAAGTTGCAAACAGATGTTATGGATGTTATTTCAAAAGTTCAGTTTAAAAACCTATCTTGTTAATATGGCTTTTAATTTGGGTTAACTTTAAATTCTCACTCGTATCATTGTCCATGTTTTACTGTATTCTTTTTCTGTTTTGCTTTTATTTTTAAAATTTTATTTTATTTTTAAATTGTTTTATTTGAACATATTATCACTGTAGATGTTTTATCTTGTTCTGTATTCATTTTAATATTTTAATATTGTTGTTATGTTTTCTGTAAAGCACTTTGGGCACTTTGGTGCTATACAAATAAAGTGTATTATTATTATTATTATTATTATTATTATGGCCTGTGGGATGAAACTGTCCCTGAGTCTGGTGGTTTTAGTCCGGATCATGCATATTTCCGGTTGTGATTTGCAACATCAGATGAAATAGTTATGTACCCATTGAGGTTGGCGGGCTCCGAGTGGTACACGTTCTTGCCCTGCTCGGCGATGGAGGGCGCGTGGTGTGGGCCGTCCTGGCTCTGAGAGGCCTTCAGGGGGTGCACGTGGCTCTTGGGCTCGATGGGGCTGGTGGGCAGCGACATGTCGGCCGACTCGCTCAGCTTCCCGTTGGTCTGCGTTGGCCGGGGATCCGGTCTGTCTGGATCCAGGTTCCGTCTGTGGGTCTTGGCAGGGGAGGTCACGCTGATGGCGGGGACGCTGGGTTTGTTCAGGACCTTATCAGAGTGCGCCAGCTGCAGCTTCTTCATGTGGTTGATGACCACCGTAGCGTTGTACGCTTTCTGTGAAGTGAACAAAGACAAGAGGTTCAAAAAGAGATCATAAGTCAGTCAAAAGTCAAAAGTCAACTTTATTGTCAATCTTCCAGTTTGTGTGCACAGACAGAGAAATACTGTTTCCCACAATCCCCAATATAAAAACAAATGTACATAAAAAGATAAAATATGTGTTCAAATATCTATATATAGACTATCAACCTGTGTGAGGGGGTTGAACTACATTCATAATTAGTGATTCAAGTAGTTAAAATACTACCTAGTAAACTATAAAGCCTACAAACTATTTTTGGGCTAGAAAAATAAATAATAGTTTTTGCTGCACGACTGTTATTGAACCCTCTTTTTGTTTAAATATAAATCAAATATTTTATTACATTTGATTGTTGCTTTACTATTCTAATTAAACTACAGTTTATTTTAATATAAGTTAAATATTTGTGTGGGATCTTTTTGTGGGGATTATGTATGACCTGAATTCATTTGAAACTCAATCGACTGTCATTTTTTACTAGCATTTGACATTTTCATTTAGATATTGTTAGATATTCGTGTCATATACATTGCTGTAGTTCAACTGTAGATAAACAGCTTTCTTAACACTTAAAGGTGGGGTATGTCATTTTGGAGAAACCAGCTCGAGTGCGCTAGAATTTGAAAGTACGCAGCCGAAAAAAATCTGCCCCTTCCTTCAGACTTCCTTCCAGAGCCCCTCCTCCAACACACACGGACGCGCACATGACCAATGAGGGCACGAGATAAGTTTGTGCACGAGATGGAAGGCTGACAGGCAGGTAGGCCATCCAGTTATTTTAGCCGGGCCGGCTCAGATGATTGGTCGTGCTTTTTACAGTACTACGGCTTCCACAGATGACATTTTTTTATGTATTTTTTGTCAAAGCATTTAATGTATTCATTGCTATCGGGATGTTAAGAGCATTCCATGGAATATAACAAAAAGGGTTTCTGAAGTGAATTACCTACCCCACCTTTAAATCTACTGAAGCTTACACAATGTTCCTGCTACACTCCAGACATTAGGTTCACTTCTTAGTCATTTTCCCCTGTTATACAATGAAGTGCCCAATCAGCACTGATTGCCGAACAACATCTTATCAAACTCTTTAATCAGGAAGGATTTCGGTAGGCCCCCCCGATTAATCCTCTATAAACTGCTCTAAATTAGATCCTCTCATCAAGGCCCTGAGAGACTAACCTTCCACTTGGACTTGGCGAAGTTCTTCTGGATCTGAACGCTGACAGAGTAATAGATGTCCTGGCTCCGCGCCGTATTTCCAATAATCCTGAAAACAGATGACGAAACAGAACGGTTAAATATATTTCCAGGTAACGCTAATCCGCTGTGACCTGACACTGTGAGGATACTCTCCTGTAATAGCTGTTTATTTTGGTTGTAGTTTCACTTAGATGTCATAAATCTAACATGTTGTTTTACTGTCCTTTGTAGTGGAACAACAGCTGCTATTTTATTACTTTGAGATTTGTATAACTTCAACAAATAAATGTTTTGTGTTATTTTACCCATGATTCAGTAGCTTAAAGACGATTTATTATACAAAGAACTGCCGTTATCTGCTCACAAATTTAACTATATTGCACAGAATTATTTACTACTATTGTAAAAGTAATTTAAGGGTAAAAGACGAGACAATTTAAGAGTTTTTAGGACTATTTCGAAGAAATCCTGTGTTTTAATTACTTGCCAATAACAAACTGTTAGTGTCTTAATCAATATCCAGAGACAATGAGGATGAGATGCCTCTTTTACTTTAGCAGTTTAGAGATTATAAATAATTTACTTTATTTTCCTGATCATGCAAACATTAATGTCTGCATGCAGGGTTAATAAAGAAATATATAAAACCCTAATACACATTCTATTTTAGGCTCACTGCTTGACTTAGTAGATAGTAATGGTAGTAGATAACTAACAAGAGAAAAAATAAACACAAAAATATGTCAATAAATGTTTAATAATCAATAAGCTAGAGGTTTTTAGTTGGAAAAGCACATCAATGTATTCTATGTTTACCTTGCATTATATTTCAGATTCAGATTTGGATTCAGCATATTTTATTTTGCATTAACATTACATTAAATGGAAATGTGTCCTTGGCACAGACAGATAAAGCAACACTCACCATACACCGTACAACACACACAAACAAATAAATTGCATCTTAAAGTGACTAAGTGGTTGTCATAATAAAAGTTCTTCATGTGGTATAATTTCCCAATTATACTGAATGATAAGATAATGGCAATGATCACCACAGAGTTTGAGTTAATGTCCCTAATAACCAATATGTGTATAAACCCCTCTGTGGCTGCTGATGGAGACTCACCAGGGATGTCTGAGTGCCATTTCAGTGGAGAAGCGCAGGCTGGGAGTTTTCTGCATCATGTTACGGATGAAGTCTTTAGCTGCGGATCAAAATGTGACACGTGTTAGAGCTGGAGCTGGGTGAATGCATAAAGCAGCTGCAACAGGCTCTAAATTATACATGTGTTGATGCTCGGTGTAAATACCAGATTCAGAAATATCATCCCAGAAGGGCGAGTCGAACTCATACTGCGCCTTTATGATCTTGGAGAACAGTCTTGTCTCGCTTTCTTCGTAAAAAGGGGGATATCCACAGAGCCTGAAACACAAGCATTCAGTAAAGTTGGGAACGTGTTTATTTCAATGCACACTTAATGTAAATAATATCCTACTTTTAAATGTTGTTAGCTGTAATTTGGCCCTTATTTTATTTTATAACTATTATTCTTTTTGTATTGCTCATGCTCTTATTGTTATTATGTTATTATGTTATTATGTTGCATTGTTGGAGAAGCCTGTGACATAAGATTTTCAACTACATAATTACTCTGTAGCTATGTCAGATTGACAATAAAGAACCTTGAACCTTCATAGTGTGTAATGATAGATACAGATAGTACACAGATTTGTATCTTTCACTGTCAACATGCATATATGTTACTTCTTAGTTCTGTTTTATTTTCTATTCAGTGATCTTATGTAAAACAGTGTGAACAGTAGATGCTCACTAGGGATGACTTCACCCTGCCTCATTGTTCTATATTAAGCTAATTGTGTCATGCATGACTGGCAGAGGCTTTTAATCTTGAGATCCACTTAAGAAAGAAAAACCCGGAGCTGATTGACAATCTTAAAAGTCTATTTGCATATATCTCTCTATCTTAGTCTAGTTATATGTGCCCACATTAACAATGGCGTTATACTTACAAGATGTAGGTGATCACTCCGATGGACCAGCAGTCGACCGCCTTGCTGTACGGCTTCTGGGCCAAAACCTCAGGCGCTGGAAAACAAGAACACATTTCACATTTGTTGCTTTCATTAGGCCTGCATGCAGAGACAACTGTCTTAATATTGACATGTATTACACTGATATGCTGAAAGTGAGTCTCGAGCACAATGTGTTAGATATTACAGAAATACTAACATTTATTTTACTGAACTCAATTTGTATCTTCATGGTTGATCTAACTTATTGCTTTGGATAAAAGCATCAGCTAAATAAAATAAGATAAGATAACATGAGATAGGATCAAATAAGATTTCACAACGAAAAATAATAATATAACAACAATAATAAAATATTATTTATTTAAAAAATACAATTAAAGGAATAAATATTGTGTAAGTGACAGTATAATATATTCAATTAAACTTCACGTGTCCCCTCACCTACGTATCCCGGGGTGCCGCAGGCGGTGGACATGATGTCGCTGTCCACCATCTTGGAGAGGCCGAAGTCGCCGATCATGATCTTGGAGTCCTCGTCCTGACTGTAGTACAGGATGTTCTCCGGCTGCAGGGACACACACACACACACAGCAGCTCTTCACACACACTCATGACCTCAAAGCAGTTCTCCTGTGGTGCAACAAAGCCTCAAGATGTTCTTTTGCTGAAAGTGACACGGCTGATAATGGATTTGTACCACGAATTCTGGGAAATACCGTACACTTATTTGCTTTCTTGAGTTTGATGATAAACCTCTCTCATTTATTTTTTTCTTTTCTTTATTAAGGAGTGCAGATTTAACAGACAATACAACAATTTTACACATTTCCTGGTTTTGGTTTTCTTATTACAGGAAATAGCACTACTACCCCTCTTTTGTTACATATAGGGAAACAAACAGAATCCTTCTTTCAATTTGTACTACTCTAATTTCTGTACGGGAAATGTGAGACTACAAACAGTTAATTTTGATTTTTGATTTCTAAGTACTTTGAATTGCCTTGTGTTGAAATGTGCTCTATAAATAAACTTGCCCTGCCTTCTACGATTCAATCTTTGACATCATTTGGTTTGTTTGGGAACACTTTGATCTCCTATCTTTTGGTTTCACATGTTTAAAGTGACATTAATGAACATCTGTGCTTGAGTACTTTCGGGCACTTAAACATTTATGAACTATTTTTGTGGTGCCTTTTTCCATTCAACTTTGACATTTTTGGTTACTTTTGTTTATGTTTTTATCAAGGGCCTTATCTTTACTAAATATACTTGGATACACATTGTAATGTAAATATCTTGAAATGTGGCTTCACCCCAACGACCCAACTCAAATCCAGCACCAGACACTTTTTACGCTGCTATGGACAATCTTGCACTAATGTACATTTCCCAAAGATATTGAAGTGACTGTTATTTAGTATATATATATATATATTGTTGTGCTTTTAAGTATGTCTTAATGTGTGCATATGTATAATTGTGTCTGTTGATTGTGTATATATATATAGGTATATACATATTTTTATACATATTTGTATTTTTTGTATTCGGGATTGTGGGAAACGGTCTCTCTGTCTGTACACACAAACTGAAAGATTGACAATAAAGTTGACTTTGACCATGCTGTTGTATAGAAACATGTTTTAACCTTGGTGATTGAAAGTGTCTTAGCCAAAGTGAATGTAAGACTAATTGTTATATTATCTGATTCCTACCTTCAGGTCTCGATGCACGATGTCGTTGTTGTGCAGGTAGCTCACGGCGTGCAGCACCTGGCGGATCACGCTGCTGGCGTCTTTCTCCGAGTACACCCCCCGGTCCAGAATGCGGTCAAAGAGCTCTCCGCCTGCAACACTGAAGAGAAAACACCACTGCCATTCAAATGTGATCGAATATCCCTGTTATTCTTTTTTCTTAGCTCATCTGATCATTTAAATAATAATGTAAAGGACGCTCACAGCTCCATGACGAGATAGTAATGGGTCAGACTTTCATAGAAATCCTCCATTCCCACCACATTGTCGTGTTTGATCCTGAAAAGGGAAACAAAAAGGTGCCATCATTAGATCAGATAACATTAAATACAATAAGATTACATTAGATAAAATAAGATTAGATTAGATTTACTTTATTGATCTTATATTGGACAATTATTTTGTTGAAACAGTTTGTAGAAAAGCCATTGCACATGATTACAAAATAAAAAATAAACAGACAGTAAATGTCATTTGATTAGACTCCATCAGATAGAATTACATTAGATACACTTTATTATGTCTAAAATTGGGAAATTGTGTAAAGTAAACAGTAAATATAGACATATTAACAATAGCAAAGTATATATCTATAGGAGTACACAATTAAAACATGTACAGAATAAGTCAAATTGCACTGTAAATGATTAAAGAAACTATAAACCCACAACATAATTCACATATGTCAACAGAAACAACAGAAATGGATCAATGTGTTCCTCTGCACACTGACTACTGAGAGAATACGAGATGTTTTGACGCTCATTAAAAATGCAAACGTTAATTACCTCCTCAGCACGGCGATCTCGTTCTCCAGATTGAGGTCTCGCGTCTGTTTCTTCTTCACACACTTCATAGCAAACAACTTCCCCGTCTTCTTCTCCTTCACCATGAACACTTCTGAGAACGCCCCGCTGTTCATCAACACACAAACACAATGAAAGTGAGTTATTGATGATGCATTCACTGACTGCTTGAAAACATCAGAGAAAGGAAGAACAGCAGGAGAAATTAAGCTTCACTTCTATTAGAATTATGGGAATGTAAATAAAATATTTGGACAAGAACAGTGTCAGGGAATAATTTCCATAGATGTTTATGTTTTGCCCTCTGACGCAGATGCCCAGCCTTGGGCAGCATGCTATCTCCCTTAAGGAGGGGCTGCCCTAGCATATTGTTGATGTTACCAGTTTATGACCGGGCAACTGTCGGTCAGAGATAGTTATTGTTGTGGGACACCTGGAACACATCCTTCTCGGGGTGTAGATGACCTCGAGCCATAAGCGACAACAAATGTGATTCAGTGTCCTCAGCTGTTTAGTCTATCTATTGAAGAATGTTGATTTATTACACTCTGAACTAGTTAAAACCTGGAGCTACAGGAGGGGTCTTCAGAATTGATTGTGGCATCTCAACCGTGTGGTCAACTTGTGACATGTCTTGTGAATTCTCCGGCCGAAGCTCCAAATAAACCGTCAGTGTTTGCCATCAAAGCTCCAGCTCTCCATCGTGTCTCTCTTTTTGAGTCCTGACTCCAATTGCTTCAGAAGTTTCCCCCACAAACAGCACATAGTAGTTGCCTCTTAATGGACCTACTTTCCATTTTTCTCAGCCAATCAGAATTTCTTCCATGCTTTAATTTCTCTATTGTGTTTATAGGTCAAATGCGAATGATTTTCAGCAATTTTTATCTATTTGCAAGCCTTAAAATACATGAAAGTCTTTTTGATTTAGTGTAATGTAAGTCCCATTAGTCTGTATCGGCAAATGTAAAACTAATTTAACATTTTAGAAGAGACTCAGGCAGATAATTGGATGAAAATATGGATACGACTCACGTTTTTTCCATAATTCCATTCAATATAGTGCTGATGAAATTAGCAATTTAGCTTAGCATAAGGTCTGGAAACAGGGGGGAACAGTTCGTCTATAAACATTCAAAAACCAAATGTAAAAACGAGAACAGTGTGTGACTTTTCCCCCTGTAAAACCATAAATGATGAGTTTAAAAGGTGCTGGTAGGCAGGTGTGTGTTACAATTGTACATAACCAAGATAGCCACATTACATCTTCACACTCTTACGGAACGTCTACACAGCAGCGTTAAAAAAATCTTGAAACGCTTCTGCCCATTCACTTTGAATGGGGTGACGTCACTTTCCCTCACTTTTCGCCGAACTGCATTGTGGGCAGGCGAGCGGAGATTTTCAGGATTTTGAGGATTCAAAGTTGAACAATGTTCAACTTTTGAGGCTGAGGTGGAAGCGTCAGCCAATCAAATCCCGTGTACGCAAATCTGACAGTTCAAGCTCTAGCCAATCAAATGGCGTGTATGCTGGGAGAGACATACCGCAGGTCATTTCCTCATATTCCAAAAAATGGAGGAGAAATTAGCGGTAGCGAATCAATCACCCGGTGCTTTATGACCAGACCTACCGGGATATAAACCGGAGGAGCCAGGCATGGAGGGAGGTGGCAGAGACAGTGGTAGGTTTTCGCCTGTTTTGGGGAGTTTATATCCAGTTTACTTCGGGCTTTTTTGCTTCGTATGTCGCGGGCGGGAGATTCATGTGATTGGTTGCTCGCAAAAAATCCTCAAGCTTCAGATACGCCCACCTCCAAGATTTTTTTAACGCTGCTGTGTAGACGTACCGTGTTTACAACATGTTTCCTGTTTTTCTTCTATACATTTGACAGTTTCATCATGTAATTTCTCCGCCTCCTTGCGTCACACAGAGGTGGAAACGGCCTTGGAGCGAATACAAATAAACACACGGCAGAAATAGCGATATCAAGGGATTCAATTAAGCTGCACTGAAGCTCTCTGTGGATTAACTGATCACATGTCAGAGGCTTATTATGCTGCTCTGTGCCCATGCTATCTTCAGAGTTGTCTGGGAATAGTTGTTCTACCTGCGGGATTAGGTGCTTTATCCCTTACGCAAGGGAACAGAGAGTTGGGGAACAGGGTCAGAGACTGAGAGAGATCTGAGGAACACAAGCTGCTGCAGGGCGGAGGGAGGTCAAGGGCTGAGAGCAGACAGGTGTCACTCTGCCTTCTGAGTGGTGATGACCCTGACCCTGAGGCATGATGGGAGGTTCTCTAACGAGGAGAGACAATCTCCCGCTGGACGATGTCAGTATTGATGTAGATAAAAAGTGAATTTCCCCTGGTGGGATAAATAATGAAAAAGATAACTGTGTTCTTTAAAAAAAATACATAGATAGTGCTTCTATTGCACACCACTGCCTTCAAATAAATCAAATAATTATTCATATCTTGACTGCACTTTTATTTTTGGATTTTAAACCTGTCTTATTCTATTTTAGCTTGTTTTGATTCCACTTGTTCTCTTGATTTTTTATTTTATAATGGGTTTCTGTGGCAATATATCTTAATGTTTGACTAAAGAACAGTAATCCAGTCAATGATTTGTTGAAGAATCACACAAAATACCAGTTTTATAGTGTCATTATAAGCATATCGTTTCTGAGAAATAAAAATGCAGCTAGTCAATGTTAAATGTTTAATATTTATAGTTATCTTGTATAACTTGAGCTTGTTATTCCTCAAGACTTCTTCAGTTGATTTAATTAAGTAGAGCATGTACACATCTTCTAACTTGTGTGTTTTCAACATTGAAATCAACTTTTTTAAATATAAAAACACCTTGATCTTATTCACACTTTACTCTGCTTCTTTCCATAATCAGCCACACCTTCAGTTCGTTCCGGAGAGATAATAAACACAGAGTCTGAAATGTGTGTGGTCAATTGAGAGCTGATTTGAAATTGAATTGTAACCTTATTAAATAGATTTGAGAGATACCAAAAGATTCACACCCTATTAAAAACAGCCTGATTGCTCTCAGGGAGGCGGACAGGAAGGAGCTGTCTCTCAGCTTCATCACCGCTCTTCACATCCCGTTGCACAACTGATTTCTCCGTGGTTACAACATCTCATTTTCTTCCACGGATCTCCTCGAAGCTTATCGTGTCTCTCAAGAGAAATCATCAATCAAGCTAATACCAGACAGAATGTATACATATATAAATATATATTCAACAAAAAAGACAAAGGTTAATAACACTACTGGAGTGTGTAAAGTGGGACGCTTAAAATTCACAGATGTTAACGAGAATACAATTGCTCTGTGCTTTTTGAGGTGAATTCACCCCTGAAGAGATTATCCTGATTGCCAGGAAACAATTATGTTGTTGTTGTTTACACTGTGTGTGTGTGATGAGGCCCGAGGGACAGGCTGTGTTTGGTGTCCTACGCAATCTCCTGTCCCTTTTGGATTAGCTTCCTTTTTATGATGATGGAAGACAGAAAGGGTTTCGCGGAGATCAGGCGAAACAGCAAGAGAGTTCACTGTTGACACTTTTAAAGAGGCCCTATAATGCTTTTTGGGGTTTTCCCTTTCCTGTAGTGTGTTATATAGGTTTGTGTGCATGTAAGTGTCTGCAAAGGTTCAAATCCATGTGTTCCCTCCAGAGGGTGTTTCTCTCCCACACACTCCCCCCCTGCCTGAAACGCCTCCATTGGACTCCTTTGTTTACTTCCAAAACATTAGGACATCACTATGTAGCACTTCACTTCTATTAGCTAGCGCTCAAACACATTGTATGTGATAGGCTAAGGGACGGGACATCTATAAACGGTTGACCAATCACAACAGAGCCGGCCAGCTAACCAATCAGAGCAGACTGGGCTCTGGTTTCAGACAGAGGGTGAAAAGAGGTGCTGCAGCACAGTATGAGAAAAATAAAGACCTTTCTGAACATTAAAGCATGGAGACAAAAGAATATAGGTCACAGTAGAGGCAAAATTAATAATAATGATTAATTTGTTAGATGAGGTGTCGGAGAAATAAACTAATCACAAGTGTGTTCATATATCTTCGCCTAGTTTTCCATTACGCCTCCAGAACTGTTTTGTGTTAGGGGAAATCACCGTTATTGCTGCACACTAATTGGACCACATATTATATCATGTCCTGTGCTGGTTAGCGGCCTCGCCCCCCCGACTCTGCAATCACCGCTGCTCTGGAACATCCTCGGCCCTCGGCACATATCGCTCTGTTTACACACAACAGCAGCAGCAGCAATCACTCCATCGCTCCTTTGTTTACAGTCGGCCTCTGAGCAGCTGTTCCCCAAACACTCGAGAAATACTCCAAAAGATCTGCTGAGTTCACTTCACTGAAATTAGGTCAGGAGACTGTTAGCTAAGACTGTGCACAGTTTACATCAGTGGTGTAAAGTACATCTATCAAGTACTGTAACATGTAGAAGTACTTTTCTTGAGTATCTCCATTTTCTGAAACGTTGTACTTCTACCCCACTACAATTCAGAGGTAGATCATTTGCTTTTACTCCATTACACGTGTTTAATACTTTTAGTTAATTTGCCAATATGGATGACTGATACAACCTATAATCAATACTTAAATAGGACTTTAGTAACACATACGGTTTAAATCGACAATGGGTCAATCTGCATAATAAGTTATTTTACTTTTGGTACTTTAAGCATATTTTGATGCAAATACTTTTACTTATTTGAACACTGTACTATTTCTACTTGTACATAAGATAAACATCTACAGTAAAAACGTCTTCCAGCACTGCTGTTTTGTTTATAAAGTGTCAAAATCTAGCTCAAATTTGGCATTTTTGCCTAAAAATGTAACTAAATAATAAATAATGTCATCAAAATATAGTATTCATTATTTCAACGTTAATCAACTTATCAATTATTCAACTGCAGCTCAACTTGTTTTGCAACCAGATGTTTACATTTGTATTTACATTTCTCCTTTCTTTTGTGAGTCTCACAATTCAAGGCAACTTTAGAGAAAAAAGTAAATTTTTAAAAGACAGATAGATTTTGTATTTATGTATTGACCTGCTTAGGTGACTCTCAGGACACCATGAGGACACCATGAGGAGGCAGACAGACTAACCCTCTCACAGGCAAAGCATCTTGTTAAGTCCTCGGTAAAGTAGGCCTCAGCATGTCAATCCAATCATCTGTCCTCAGACTCAAACAGCATGTGGAGGCTTTATCATCACGGCAACATGGGACACTGTGATCGACTTCAATATCTCTCAAACTAAACCTCCAGAAATGCTAAATATTCCCAGAGGTACCACGGAAGAATCTCTGTAGTGTTTACAACAACTGAACAGGAAAGTAAAACCAGTCCTCTCAATAAATATTACAAATAAATGTACTCACGATCCCAGCTCCTCCATGAAGTCGAACACCTCCTGGATGTCGTCGATGACCTTCATCCACTCGCCCTCCTGTCGACCCATCTCTGCGCAGACTTCAACAGGCACTTCTTTTAGAGAGGAGGAGAAAGAAAATAACACATAAGGTCCACGTCCTAATCATAATCAGAGAAGAGATCATTAAACAGTCTTTAAATGATGGATGCAGGTGTTGGTGCGTCAGAGGACGAGCTTTCTTTGTCTGGATGACAAAAGGTTAGGGTTTATAATCCTACAGGAATTTATAAAGCTGTGCAAAACCAGGCCAACTGTACCAGGTCTACATTACAACATAGTGTATGAATTGATAATATGTCAGAAGTCAAACAAGGAGAAAGTAATAAGAACCTGTTGCATTGATTGTTTTCTGTTGCATCGTCAAAAATGCATTGAAAATATAATAATTAGCAAAATTATGTTGCCAAAATAAGCTACCTGCGCAATTAGGATCATCACACATTGTTGTGCAAGAAAAAATACATTTGTTTCACTAATAAACTTTAGGATTAGGAGGGAATTATCCAATAAAACCACATGTCCTGAGGAGGATTAGGAGCACTTTAAATGAGCAGGTTACCCAGTTTAGTTTCCTGGCCTCTTTTCTCTTATATATAAGGGATTAACTCTTGATATAGAGACCTGACCTTGTTACAGGTATAAATAAACACCAAAGTATAGCCTCCTCAACAATTTATATGCATTACAAATGTCTTCAAAATGTACCTGTATACAGTAAAAGCCCATAATACATGAATATAAGAGCAACAGATGAGCAAAGAAAATCTGACATTTACATTTTTGAATCCCACTTTAATTTCTCTTCAAGTCAATGCAACTCAGATGATGCAGCTGAACACAATTAAGCGATTAAAATGAGTATATACTCTAGATTATTATCCCCACATTCAAACAATGTCCATACACACAGCCACACACACAGATACCCCTGAGGGTATGCTGTTTCCACACACAACACACAGGTCTGGCACCTCTGGTTCTCCCGCAGTAATTATTTCCTTCACAGCAGTGTGTGTTGTTATTCAGGAGAGCAGCTCACGACATGCACACACTAACACACACTCACACTCACACAGACACAGCCATGCAGAGAAATGTTCAACAGCACAAGCAGCGATGCAAAACTCATTTGCAGTCAAACCATGCAGCAGGGATGCACATCTCAATGCAGTGTTGTTGTTTTGAAATTGCGCAAAAATTCCTCCACGTTCTCTCCATTCTACAGTCCCTTTCTCTTACATGCAAGCTTTAGAGTCGAGTCGCGGGTTTTTTTTCTGCACCCTGACGCACAAACACCAGTCAATGCAAGGAAATGCTGCTGTGATTGACAGTGGGTTGCAGTACCTCCTTTCTACTCTAAACAACAAATTGGCTGCAGGATCTGCGGAAACATCATTCTGCGGCAAAAACTATCAGAAATTCAGACCAAGCTCTCACGCCTGAGCAAAAACACCTTAAAACACAAGTTTGGACTCATGCATGATGGATATTATAGAGGAGAAAAACTAGAACAGAATACAAATAAGGCAACACTGGCGCACTACTTTACTCCGAGCTGCTGTTAAAAGCAAACAACAGTTGTTTCCAGGTCTACTTTAAAATTAAAAAAGATTCAGATTTGAGACTTACCCAGAGACTCTGCGCTGGAGGAGCTCCGCTCTGACTCTCCTGCCAAATGCTCTGCGAGGTCTGGACGGATTACTGAGTCTGGGACATCACAAGAGGAGCTACCTGTTGTGGAGTCAGAGATTACATCCATGGAGAGGGGGAGGGTGGGGGGGGGCGCACTGCTGCAGAGATCCGTGCAGCAGCCACAGGTTTATACAGAAAACAAAGCGTGTTGCGCAGAGATGAGCAATATTTCTTTCAAAACGGCAAGATTAATTCATAACAGCAACATGTGCACGCGCATGCGCAGCTACACGCACTTGAGTTTTGCACGTTTCAGCCCCATGGTTTCAGCACAACATTGATGGTTGATAGTCAACCAGTGGTGGAAGAAGTACTTATATTTAATACCATTCAAAATCTTAAGTACATTAAAGGTATTGGCATATCAATATACTTGAGTACCAAAAGTAAGAGTACTGTAAGAGTAATTGCACATTTCAGAAATATAAATATGAAATTAAAATTATGATTATTGATGCATGCATGCGTTCATCACAGCTGGTAAATGTGGAGATTATTTTAATTACCAAACTGCTTCTGGATTTGTTAACCTTTCATATATGTGAATGTTGAGTTTTTAATTTAAAAGTAATGCCTTACAAATGTAGTGGAGTAGCAGTCTAAAGTAGCATAACAAGTGTAAGTTCCTCAACATTTTATTATGTACTTCATGACATTCCACCACTGTCAACATTGGTCAAATGTACATTATCACATATATTCAAGTATTGAAGACCTACTCAGTTACATGTCAATGTAATCTAGGGTATCTAGATGCAATAATTATCACCTGAAAACCCCCCAAAAAATCACATGAATCTCTTATCAATTAACTATATAGCTTTAAATGTTTTATTTAATTTCAATCAAACTTTTATTGTTTTTTTTAATCAAACTTGTGTTTTTTTCACATTTATTTTATATTTAAAATGTATTTTATTTGTGTTTTTATAACAGGTTTTTATTTATTTATTTTTGTTGTTTTAATTTAATAATTGTTTGGGACTTTGGGCTTCATACAAATAAAGTAATACATGTAAATTATTAGAAGTAGGCAACCTGTCAATATTGGAAAGGTCTTTGTAAAGTTGTTTTCACATGTCAGTACACATTTCACAACGGGGACACAGACTGGGGTGAGCGCAGCATTAGGCTCTAATCATGATACAGTACAAGTAGTCTTCAGAGGCAACTTTTAACAGGATTATTTATTAATCTGCACACGTAGCTCATCTCACCTGTGACCTGCCTCACATGGAGGAACAGGGTCAGAATAACGTTTGGCCCTCTGCACTCCTGTGTTTACTGCAGACAAAGGACATGGACACAGAAAAGGATTGTTTGTGCCCTGCAGAATAATTACCTTCACATTACATTACATTTAGCTGACACTTTTATCCAAAGCGACTTACAATAAGTGCATTCGACCAAGAAGATACAAACTTGAAGAAAACAGAATCATATAAGTACATCAGGTTTCATAGAGCCAAAACATTTCAAGTGCTACTCAACTGGCTTTAGATAAGCCAGTCCTTTGTTAGTATATAAGTGCTTTGTTAGCAATTCTTTGTTAGTAATTCTATCGCTCGAAGTGGAGTCGAAAGAGATGAGTTTTCAGTCTGCGCCGGAATATGTGTAAGCTTTCTGCTGTCCTGACTTCAATGGGGAGCTCATTCCACCATTTTGGAGGCAGGATAGCAAACCCACGTGTTTTGCTGATGGGAACTTGGGTCCCCCTCGCAGTGCGGGTGCAGCGAGCCGTTTGGCCGATGCAGAGCGGAGTGCACGTGCTGGGGTGTATGGTTTAACCATGTCCTGGATGTAGGAAGGGCCAGATCCATTCACAGCATGGTACGCTAGTACCAGTGTCTTGAAGTGGGTTCTAGCAGTTACTGGAAGCCAGTGAAGTGAGCGGAGGAGCGGCGTGGGTGTGGGAAAATGTTGGAAGGTTGAAGACCAGACGAGCCGCTGCATTCTGGATGAGCTGCAGAGGTCGGATGGCACATGCAGGTAGACCAGCCAGGAGGGAGTTGCAGTAGTCTAGGCGTGAGATGACGAGAGCCTGGGCCAGAAGTTGCGTCGCTTTCTGGGTCAGGAGGGGACGTATCCTCCTGATGTTGTAAAGAGTGTATCTGCAGCAGCGGGTTGTAGCAGCGATGTTTGCAGTGAAGGACAGTTTGTTATCTAGGGTCACACCCAGATTCCTTGCAGTCTGAGTCGGGGAAACAATAGAGGTGCCGATGTTGATTGTTAGGTCAAGAGTCGGACAATCTTTTCCCGGAAGGAAAAGCAGTTCAGTCTTGTCAAGGTTGAGCTTGAGGTGGTGAGCAGACATCCACTGAGAGATGTCAGCTAGACAAGCAGAGATGCATGCGACGACCGGGGTCTCTGAGCGGGGAAAGGACAGAATTAATTGGGTGTCGTCAGCGTAGCAGTGGTATGAAAAACCATGCGGGCTAATGACAGATCAGAGCGAGTTTGTGTACAAGGAGAAGAGGAGGGGACCAAGAACAGAGCCCTGAGGGACCCCTGTAGTTAATTGACAAGGGTCGGACTCGGACCCTCTCCAAGTTACCCTGTAGGTACGGTCTTTGAGGTATGAGGTGAGGAGGGAAAGTGCAGAGCCTGAAACTCCAAATTCTTGGAGAGTGCGAAGGAGGATCTGATGGTTCACCGTGTTGAATGCAGCAGACAGGTCCAAAAGGATGATGACAGAGGAGAGGGAGGCTGCTTTAGCCGTGTGCAGTTCCTCAGAGACAGCGAGGAGGGCAGTTTCTGTGGAGTGACCTACCTTGAAACCAGACTGGTGCGGATCCAGAAGGTTGTTCTGATGGAGATAACAGGAGAGTTGTTTAAAGACAGCGCGTTCAAGGGTTTTAGACAGGAACGGGAGGAGAGAGACAGGCCTGTAGTTTATAACATCAGACGGGTTGAGAGTGGGTTTCTTTAGGAGAGGGTTTACTCTTGCCTTCTTGAGACTGTTTGGAAAGTGACCAGAAGTTAGAGAAGTGTTGATGAAATGGGTGAGAAACAGTAGAATATCAGGAGCGATAGTCTGAAGGAGGTTTGAGGGGATAGGGTCCTTCACATATTTCTAATCAAAAGGAACAGCGACAATGATGTCCTTTAGACAAATGAAAACATTCTGTCAGTATTCTATCCACCATCAAAGGCTGCAGTGTTGATGAAATGCAGAATACCTGAGGTTCAGGCCCGTGCCGTTCATAGCGACATAATAATATAGCTCATCATGTCGTCATGGATACTGGGCGAGGAGGTTGTCATGGTGATTTCTCAGTTTCAGGTATTTTATAACCAGAAGGAGTTGAAGTGTTTTCCTTGAAGAGAGCCAGCATCAGGCCGGCAGGTAGAACAGTTTCTATAACGAGAGCGCCAGGAATGATGATGAATGTTGCTTAGTCAGTTATTACAGAAAAGCAATTAGAGAAACATTTGAGCAGCATTAAAAGTAACATTACAAACACATGGTTACAAGTAGAGTCCTGCATTAAGATGTTACTTAAAACGTCTCTATTATGCTTTTTGGGGCTCTGGTTTCAGACAGAGGGTGAAAAGAGGTGCTGCAGCACAGGCAGTATGAGAGAAATAAAGAGCTTTTTGAACATTAAAGCAAGGAGACATGTCACAGTAGAGACACTAAATAATAATATCAACCTGCAAATGAACATAATATGTTCTCATTAGGTAACATTCTACTTAAAGGTGGGGTAGGTAATTTTGGAGAAACCAGCTCGAGATCGCTAGAATTTGAAAATACACAGCCGGAAAAAATCTGCCACTTCCTTACAGAGCCCCTCCTCCAACACACACGAACGCGCACATGACCAATGAGGGCACGAGATAAGTTTGTGCACAGATGGAAGGCTGACAGGCAGGTAGGCCATCCAGTTACTTTAGCCGGGCCGGCTAAAATGATTCGTCGTGCTTTTTACAGTACTACGGCTTCCACAGATGATATTTTTTAATGGATTTTTTGTCAAAGCACTTAAGATATTCATTGCTATCGGGATGTTAAGAGCATTCCATGGAATATAACAAAAAGTGTATCTCAAGCCGGTTTCTCAAACTTACCTACCCCACCTTTAATTAAAGACTTCTACTTGTAATGGAGTATTTGCAGAACACCTCCTTCTCTTAAGTAAAGGATCTAAGTGCTTATTTCACCTCTGCTCCTTACTGCCCCATCCCAGGGATTAATACCTTTCTTCTTCTTCTTCATTTATGTCACATAAGTGATGTTAAACCAAGCTGCCCATAGTTCTCAGAGGAGAAACAGAACAAACACAGCGCCTCAGGCTCTTAGGATCCATTGCGACTAAATGAAAGTCAACGAGATTACACTAACCGGATCAGGACATTGTTCAATGCCTTGTATAACGTGATGAGTGACGGAAAAAGACTTCTAAGTAAAAGTGAAGCGCCCTCACACGACGAAGAGTCAAAGAAGACATTTAAGTCATCATATTTAACGCTGTGAAAAAATATTTCAGCAAAATGAATCAGGATTTAAATCCACTAAACAAAATTAGTTATTTTGAGATGTTTATAAAGCGTTACATAAGATGATTGAATTGGTTCTGAGGCGGTTCACTGCTGACATAAACGGAGATTAATGTTAAGTTAGCATGAACCTAGTGACCCGTGTGTGATAACTGCACACAACAACCAAGGTTATATAAAGCAATCCATCACTGGTCCGCTGTGGAAACGGTGTTGCAGGATAAACATCATTTAGTAATTATGTGTGCACTCTTGTTCTATCTCCTGTAATTATTCACCTTCAGGCCTCATTTCATAACACAACAAAGTAGGGCTCATTCTCCACAGAGGCTTCCTAAGATCATAATATCCTCTTAATATTTACAGGGTTAAATATAATAATATGGGTCCCACAGAGATTAGTATTGTCACAGTGTAAACTACAGTGGAGGCATGTTGCTAACTTGGTAACAACATTTGCTCAGGTGCTGCACTTCAAAACAATAGAATAACTTTTATTGAAATATTGCGCTTTAATGCTTTACTATATTTTAGAGAAAAAAGGAAATCGTACTTTCTACTTGTCTACACCTA